GTGTGTGTGTGTGTACATATGGCATGCCGTTCAGGAACTTATTGTATTTATAATATGAAGTTTGAGCTGAGGTGGACAGTAACGAAGTACATTTGCTTGAGTACTGTATACTTAAGTAGGCCTACACTTTTTGAGTATCTGTACTTTACTTGAGTATTATTTGTTCTGGAAATGTTTTACTTTAAAGGGGTGCTTGATTATGATTGGACGGTACTGCCAATAACTGTAAAATTCATCAATTGTGCATACATGCTCTATATAAAGTGTATTTGTGCACATATACGTGTGACAAACTCATGTCCGCTCCACTGCACACTGAACAAGCAAAAGACACAAGGTAGTCGTGTTGTACATTTTTCACATCTGTGTGCAGTTTGGCGTGTATGTGTGTGGCTAATCATTTCATAACATCAAAATAATCTATTAATAATCCCACAATCCAACCTCAAACACTCAAAACCGCTTAAATAACACCCAATTTCAACACTTTCCCTCCCAGTTCAAACCTAAATGCACTGCTGAGTTTCAGTTCATGTTTTAAGCTAAAGTCCCAACAGTTATGGAAGTGTATTGTATTGTATTGTATATGAAGTTAAATTGTGACAAAATATTCAACAATTGCTTCAGCTTATTTTAAAACAGTAAAACAACACACAAAAAAAATATGTTTATTTTGAGTCTGACTTCTTGTGTTGTGGTTATCTGCAAGAGTTCACATCCCGGCCACAAGTGCATTTGTCAATTAAAGCCATTAGAGACAACAAGCATAAAATGTGTTTTTTCTTTCTTTTCCCTAGGGAAACGTGATGGAATATGACTGAAGAGTGAATCGGAAGCAATCGCTTTTAAAATGAGGATTATTCTGGTGATCCTTTTTTTGCTCACTTTGTTTTTCATGCTTATGCCGTTACTATTCCCCCAAACCAAAAAGATCTACCCCAAACCCATTCCTCAGGCTCCGAAAGTATGTGTCGTTCCAGTCAAGGACGGTCCTGAAGCATGTGGCGTCCCAGTGAAGGACGGTCCTGGGATTAAAGTCGGGAACCTTCACACATATTTGACCGGCTCTTACATGGATCATCGTTTCGGAGTGAAACAGATAAAGATGATTGCCATCGTTCTCCGTGATGAGAAGGTGTCGTACAGGTGTGTGATGTGCTGCGAAGGGAGGAACGTGACTTCCCCAGCCGAATACACAATTCACTACGACCACTTTGGTTTCGAGTACGGCACTGCTACTGTCACATGCCAAATCGACAGCTCGTGTTCGACACCGACGCATGTTGCGTTAACAGCCAGTGAGATCTCGGACAGCATAACATCCTTCCAACCCATTAGAAACAGAGACGTTCCAACAGTCTTCCCGTATTCATTTGCAGTCTGCATCTCTGTCATGTATGACTACAAGAATGTGCTGGGTTTAGTCCAGGCGATGGAGATGTTCAGACTGCTTGGTGCTCAAAGAGTGGTGATATATAAAACCAACTGTGATTCAGACATACAGAAGCTTCTGGACTACTATGTGAAAAGTGGTTTTGTGGAGGTCATCTCATGGACGATTAAAAAGCACATCGATGTGTCTAGTGGCTGGAGGAAGGATTTATCACCCGGTCAGCTGCATTACTACGGGCAAATTCCTGCACTTAATGACTGTGTTTATCGTTACATGTACCAAAGTCGCTATCTGGCTCTACATGACATGGATGAGTTCATTCTGCCTCTCAATGTGAAGAACTGGACGGATCTGTTGCCTGAGCTTGAGAACATATACGGCACTAATGTGGGCTTTGAGTTTGATAACACGGTATTCCCTTGTACCGCAAAAGCTGATTATAAACAAAACAATTGGAAAAATTTACAGGGAATTAATATTTTAAATTGTAAAGAGCGAGATCCCAATAGTTACGACAATTACAAGATTATAGTAAATCCTCGGCTAGTACTGAAGGCTACTGTACATGGCCTGCTGGAAAGTGTGAAAACTCGACCCTACACAATAAGAGTGAAGAACTCCATCGCTCGCATGTATCACATGAAATCATCATACCCAACAGACAGAAAACTTGTAAGAGATGATCATCTGAATGACTATGCCGGAGATCTAATACCTGCTGTTTCGAAAGTTCTACGGGACTGTGGATTCATTGAGGACTAAATTGCGCGAAGAACTGTTACTGGTTTCATGTCAGTAAAAAAAAACAAGTATTAATAAAGTGAACCCAATTTTTTCTCTTGGCAGTGAATAGATTTGAAACTGAGATTAAAACAGTGAAACACCTTTCTATAGATGGATAGAAACTGAGAAGGCTTCTCTGAGCAGCGAGGTGTCATTTTTCTGATGGTTCATTCTTTGTCACGCCTTTTCTTACACAGTAATACTTTAGGGTTTAAAGGGATAGTTCACTTTGAAATACATTTTTGGTATGGTTTAGCTTACCTCAAGGGCATCCAAGATGTAGGTGTCTTTGTTTCCGCAGTAGTTTCAATTTTGATATTTTTAGGTCAAACCGTTCTTGTCTGTCAGTCATATAATGCAGGTCTATGGTCACCACCTCAAAGAGCATGCACAGAGAAGTCCAAATTAAACATGATTTAATGACTTGTAAATGTAAGTACACATTGATGGCCTAAGACACGAAACGAGCGGTTTGTGTGAGAAAACGAACAGTACTTATATCGTTTTTACCTCTTGTAACGCACAGACCGAAGCGCCGGCGCCCTCAGATCACTAGGACGTGGCTGTGGTTACAAGAGGTAAAAACTATATAAATACTGTTCGTTTTCTCACACAATCCGCTCGTTTCGTGTCTCAGGCCATCAATGTGTACTTACATTTACGAGTAGGGTTGGGTACCGAAATTCGGTGCCAATAGGGAACCGGTTCCGACGTAAACGGTAGTAACCAGACCGAATAAGAACGAAAATTTCGGTGCCTGATTTCGGTGCCTAACTTCATTAGGCACACACACGCAAGGTCTCTCGCTCTCTCCCTCTCCGCCGTGCGTGTGCTACACAGTTTGGAGCACAGTTTCTTCTGTCTCGCATGCGCGCTCTTTCTCGCAAGGTTTGGCTGCATTTCACGTGTAAAACTACATGTCAGAACGTCCCGCAGCGTCCCGTTCCCTATTGAGAGATATGTTACACCAACCAGAGATGTTCTCTTTCATAGGTTCACTGCGCTGCGTAGCTAAGAAGCAGTGGATTTGTAGGCTGCTGTATCACGTGCCGTTTGAACTGACGCGCTACAGCGATCTGTCACATTTCAAAGAGCCAAAACGTTATTTATTGTGTGAATCTCGTAAAAATATTGACAGAATCTGACAGCTGTGGATTAGTTCCATATCAAAAATAACCTTCTCTGTCTTGTCTGTCCGTGTCCTCTTTGTCCGCGATTTTTCTGTGTGAAAAGGGTCATTTGCGTGAGTCTCACGGTCAATGCGTGAGAGTTGGCAGCTCTGCAGTAATCTCTATTAATCTCTAGTATTATTACATTTTTTGATACAATATTGTTTCATTTGATATTATGTAAATATGAATTTTTATTTTATATTGGTTTTATTATTACCATATGTTACTTGTATTTATATTGTTTAAAGATTTAAGTTAATATTGTGTCCAGTTTGGCCCTGTAAATTAAAGGGTATTATTTTTTTATAAAGTGTGTACGGTTTCATTTTCTTAAGTACCGATTTAAGAACCGTTTAAGCACCGGAACCGTTTAAAAAATACCGAGTAGGTACTGGAATCGGATAAAACCCAACCGATACCCAACCCTATTTACGAGTCATTAAATCATGTTTAATTTGGACTTCTCTGTGCATGCTCTTTGAGGTGGTGACCTGCATTATATGACTGACAGACAAGAACGGTTTGACCTAAAAATATCAAAATTGAAACTACTGCGGAAACAAAGACACCTACATCTTGGATGCCCTTGAGGTAAGCTAAACCATATCAAAAATTAATTTCAAAGTGAACTATCCCTTTAAGGCAAGACAGGAGAACAGGGTGAACTTTTTAACTAAAAGATATCAGCATTCTTACCCCCGGTTGATTAATCACGTTACATTTTAGACAATTGGTTTGTGTTAGAAGTTTTCTGAAATGTTAGGTTTAAATAGGCTATGTAGGCTTATATTAACTAACTCATAGGTAAATATTAACTCACTCAATAAGCACTGGATAAAGTCAGGTTAAACATTCCTCTTTCGCTTTTGCTGACAGAGGGGATTTTTGGATACCTCTTTTTTTAATCTACATAATTTATTGATGAATTCACTTTCATTGTCTTTACTCATTCTACGACTGTTTGGTGATCCTAACAAAACTTTTCAGGGTGACATTCTGACATTAATATCCCAACTGCTTATGTTTCTGTAGCCAACATCAGTGTTATCACCCTTTACCACCGGTTTGTGTTGCGGGATCACACTGTGAAGTCACAGGGCGGTTATGATCACGCAGATCTCTGAAGAATCACTTATTATTATTATTATTATGTAGATGGTTAGTAGATCAAACTAGTATGCTTAAAACTTTACTTAGTAACTCCACATTTATGGATTACTAAAATACGTTCCCACAGTAATACACAAACTAGCCTTGAATTCAAAACTCCTGAGAGCATGTTTATTTCATGTACAATTTATGAAAGAAAAAACTGCAATTGACCCTGAAATGTATGAAGCAAGTTAGTTTTGTAAAAACTTGCATTAAGCATGAAGGCTGTCTGACCTTAAGACTCTTAATGCATCATTGGGGCAACAAGAAGGAGCGCTTTACTAGTTTAGAAGCCACACACACACACACATACACATGCACGCACGCACACACGCACACACACACACACACACACACACACACACGGTTTGTGGTTACCATAACAGGAAATAGGCAGTCACAGCATCCGGACAACGCCCTGTACTTGCAAATAAAGACATTTACTGACATTAAAAAACTAAAATACAATTACACTGTACATTTTACAAAACCTCCTAGAAATGTACAAACCAAAAACATACAAAAGACAGCTGGGCAATTACAGTTGAGATAATTCATATTGTGCTATGATGAGGCTGCACAACACGTGTCCATTGGTTTATTATTACATGTGTGCAAATAGGCGTATGTCTCTATGAGCTTTTGTCCCTCTACGGGTCCTCTTATCTGACCAGGTGGAAGGTCAGCCAGTACATGAACACGGGCTGCGCTGCAGCGATGGCCATGGTCAGGTACATTCGCAGCTGGTTTTTGGCTCCTCGCACTAACCGCCCCTCCGCGGCGGCCTCAGACAGGATCTTTAGCCGTAGTGTTCGAATCTGTCAGCGACACAGAAGGAAGATCAAGAGCGTTACAGAACCGTCACAGGGCAGATCCTAAAGGGTTCCCACACTTCAAATTCAAGGACCACAAACGTTGAGGTACAATTGTAGTTGCGCGTGAACGTCATGGCAACGTACAACTCAAAGTACCTCACGCGGGAATACTTCACGTAACGAGTTAATGCGCATAACTAACGTGAATCTAGCTAGTATTCATAGGCCATGAAGTGTTGGGAGGGAATAATATGGATTTTTTTCTTGCACAAAATAAATTCAAGCACTTTCAAGGACCTATATATGCTTATTTTTCTAAACCTTCCAGGGCCTTGAATTAATTTGTTTGTTTTTTCAGATTTACAAACTTTTAAGGATTTCAAGGACCCGTGGGAACCCTGCTGCATAGTTTAGACATTCAAGCATAACTTCATTCAATGCATATCTATGTGCCGTATGAGTGATTTCACACAGCAACAGATGTTGCAACAGAGTCTTTTTTTTTTTTAATATAAACTTGGATTACAATAGATGGAAAGAGATATTATATACAGACTACCGGTTAAAGATTTTTTGATATATTTTTTTAAATGCAATGTTCTGTACTAGACTAACTGAGAGCACTTGTATATACTGTTGTCCTCTTGCTGGTCTGGTTGCTTCTATTCTCCTCAGTTGTAAGTCGCTTTGGATAAGCGCGTCTGCTAAATGATTAAGTGTAAATGTAATGCATTTGATAGAGAGGTCTCTTCTGCTCACAGAGTCTGCATTTATTTGTTAAAAGTTGTGAAACATTATTACAACTTAAAACAGAGGTTTTCTGTGTGAATATATAGTAAAGTGTAATTTATTTCTGTGATCAAATTTGAATTTTCAGCATCATTACTCCAGTCTTCAGTGTCACATGATCCTTCAGAAATCACTCTAATATGATGATCTGATGCTCAAGAAACATTTATGATTATTAATCAATGTATTTTTGTAGAAATATTTCAGGATTCTGTGAAGCATAGAAAGTTAAAAAAACAGCATTCTTTTAAAATAGACATTTTTTTGTAACATTACAAATGTCTTTCCTCTAAATGTTGATCAATTTAATGCATCCTTGCTGAATAAAAGTATTAATTTATTGTAAAAAAAAAAAATTATTGTGTTTTGATCAGGCTAATAAAAATATCATGCTTTTTTTAAATTTACAATTTGCTAAAAACGTCCAATAATGCAGATCTTTTAATGTTTTTTTTCTGAACCAAAACCAAGAAACAACAGAAACACGACTGGTCTGGCCGTTTGAACTTCAGCGAAATGATGAATATAACGCTTTACTGTAAAATACAGCAGCATATGAAGCCATCTCTCAATACACACCGTAAAGACAAAGATAGAGACGCAGCACCACAGCAGTGTGAGGTAATATCCCGTCCGGCCAAACAAAAGTCCGGCCACGACTCCCACGATCATCCTGAGGAAACACACAGCGCAGGAATTTACACAGCTGACACGTGCTCTGGACAAAATCTACATTCCTTGCTATATATTCAAAGCAATGCACTGTACATCCATACACCGTTTATATGCTTTTCTTATCAGGGACTGTTTGATTTAAAACCTTTCAAAAGCACACAGATGATAAAGCTGTCAATTAATGAGTACACTAGACTAGTAATACTAGTTATATCCGGTAATATGAGGACAATACTGGGAAACGATATACAATTAAATATCAAATACAAATTCACTTTATTTTTCAGTTTTATTTCAATTTGTAGTTAAAATATATTTTTTAAAAGGATATGTAATTGTGCAGCAAATATTACTGAATAGCACCACCTAGAGTCCAAAATACCAGCTGAATTGGTTTGACTGCAGATACTAGTGATAGATAATGATAGATGTGGTGAATCTAGGATAAACAAAGACGACCCAATGTCCTCACCCAACATATTTGTATCCAGAAAAGGCCACCAGGTCGATGGTGGTGAGGTCAGTGTTAACGGTTACCAGATAAAGACTGAGGAGCACAGCCAGAACCTCGATGATGAGCCACACCAGGGCCGAGCTGGCCTGAATGCCCAAAATCTCTGGAGAAAACCTGAAAACAAGAACAGAGAAGCAAAATCAGGATGGAAAAAAACAAGTCATGACCAAAAACAGAGAACAGGAGTAACAGGAGGTCAAGAGCAGGCAGGACAATTGCCGGAAGTTCCCCTTCCCTGTTAAACTCCTGCATCATCATCAAAACACAGTTCCTCTCGTGACAAAACATCTGATAAATGAAGCTTCAGATCCATACTGGGACTTCTGACCATTCGGACAGGGAATGATACATATTCAAAGCCTCCGTGAAATAAAAAAATGGATAATTCTTGTTTTTTTATGGAATATTGCAGTGTTCAATATAAATTATTTATCCACACACATTTTTATTCATGTGGCTTGTAATCTTGAATCAGAATATCTTCCATCCCTCTTGCAGAATCTTTTCTCTGATGATGTGGGCGGGGCAACCTGTCACTCACGTGAGATCAGCCAATAGCAAACCACAACCATCCAATCAAAATCAAGCCCCGCCCTCCATTTGTTCTGTTCCAAAAGCTGTTTCACTGGGATATATTCGGCACAATATGGAACAAACATCAATTCGAAAATGTAAATATAATATTGTAATAACAAATAATAATAGTTTGTTTTATTTTATAAATAATTAATTTGAGATTTCATTAGGGTGATATGGAAAAACTAAAAACTTATCAGCTAAAATGTAATCAGTGAGCCAAAAGTTCCTCTGTTATTGAAATTAAGGGCTCAAGGGTAAATCTTAGCCAGTATACTATTCATGTTTAATTTGTCTTCTAACAGCCTTGGCGTAAGCATTGCATTCCCACACAGTTGAATTCTCCCAGTCTCTGCTATAGTGAAGCCAAACTGGCTCTTACCGGTTCTGTGTGCCCAGAGCCAGTCCAGCAACCAGGACATACGTAATGAAACCCATCACTGCGGAGCCAGAGCCAAACAAACACATACAGATGAACATTTCCATCAATATATAATAAGATCCTTTGAATTTTTAAATAGCACATCCCTCAGTAAAGTAATTATTATTAGAGAATATGGCTTGGAGTCACACCGGGAATGTACAGATCAGGGGCGTTGATATCAAAGCGTGGTGCAACTGGTGTATCCTGCTGATAGCTCACCTCCCAGTTCTACAGAGAGGGCAGAAACATGAAAACCAAACAATAATTCTCTCATCATATTCAGTCCAAGTTACCAGTAACGGTCAATCTCCAAAAATGACAAGAAAGGCAACTTCATAGAATTTATATATATATATTTATTTATAAAACAGTTAGTTCCAATGCTTGATTCTGATTGGTCAATAGTTGTGCTTTATTCGCGATACCCAACGGTTCTATTTATCACTGCGCCCTTAGCAACACCCTTAGCAACCACACGTATCAACATAAACATAGAAAAAAGGTAAGGCTAAAAAGGCTAAAATGTTTAAAGTAAATTTCGATTTACTAGGTGCCATGACGGTGGATAAGTGGTTTGAGGAACAATTTGGAGAGACCTCTACAAATATAATTTTTTTTTTCTGTTTATCAAATATTTATATATTATTATCTCTTGTTAGGCAGCATTTTAGCAACTAAATTAATAACATTAGTAAAATAGATTAAAGACATAACTGTTATCTATCAAAATATGTGCCCTTGTGTTTTTATTTAGGCTATGTAAATGTTTAGTTTAGTGCAGAGAGAAAATAACGGAATAAACAAAAAAATAAACGTTTTCTCATGCTGAGAGATAAGCTATGCCTATTTGTGTGAGGAAATTTCACAAATATTGTGTTGTAAAAAAAAAGAAGAAGAATGAAACAAAGTTTGAGAACAGTTTGTTGTTTTTATTTGAGCTTTCATGCATATTACACATTGGAACGTTGTTGTTCACCGTCAGGGACTATTTTTTTCTAGCGGAAGGAATGCTTTTATTGATTTAACTTCATGAAAGTTGCACTAATAATTTTTTTTTTCTTTAATATTGTGTGGTAACCGTTTTATGAAAGCAATAAGGTACTCGAGGCAAGTGCTGTATCGTGAATAAGTCACGGCTGAGGGGGTTTCTCCACTTCACATCGTGCCTAACAACACCCTTCAGCAGTTACTTATTCACGATACAGCACTAGCCTTGAGTACCTTATTGCTTTCATATATATGACGGCACCCATTGCCTTCCATAGTATTTTTTATTTCCTACTATGGAAGTTCATAGCTACTGTCAACTGTTTGGTTACCAACATTCTTTAAAATATCTTCAACAGAAGAAAGAAACACATACAGGTTTGGAACAACTTGAGGCTGAGTAAGTATTGACAATTTTCATTTTTGGGTGAACTATCCCTTTAAGAAAAAAAAAAACCCTATTCGGAGGTAGTTGTTTCTCATGTTGACGTCTGTAAAATTAATTTGCATGACACCTCAGTGATAAAACTCATGCATTCGGATGGCGATTTGGAGGAGCAAGTTTTGTGATCCTGGATTATTCCAAGCACATGACATTTTATTTACAGCACACAGTCATGCGACTGACCACGTCTGCTGTAACTAAAATGTCATGTGCTTGGAATAATACGGATAAATCATGTTTAATTTAATAATATAAAAATAATGTCCTATTTATTATGTGATTTTTGAAATCTCCTCTTTAAAAACTGGAAGCTAGACATGCTTGAAAAGTGTTTTTTTTTTCAAACCATTTTTATTTTAAAATGATGGATGACATTTTAAAAATATGGAAATTAGAATAAATAATTCAATGCGGCTTCTTATTTGCATTAGGTAAACAAAGCTGTTTGGTTTATATTTTAATGTAATTGTATAGGCCCTAATACAATTTAAAAGTGTATTGCTGTAACGGCCCATTTCAAATGTTTACGTGCTTTTTTGTAGAGCAGTGATGAAATATTGTTCTTATAAATACTTCCCAGCATTTCAGTAATAAAAGGGTACATATTTCAAATGCAAGTTACGTGAAGCGCAACAGTTATGGTGTTACGCAGTGGTCAAAATGGATTTAAACAGTGAATTTTGAATTGATTCCTATGTGAACTCAGAAATGTGGATTCAGACGGCAATTCAATTACCTCACGACCTTGGTGTTTGTCAAAAAACAGTACGTAATTCGAGGATTTTTACGCGGGTGGTGGAAGAAAAACACTGACATTCTAGATTCGGATGGCAATAAACTCACAGACTAGCCCCTGTAAATGTTGAAAATACCTTACGTCCCTATTAGAAACAATTACCGTCCGAACAGGGCTTAGGTCTGTTAATGTGGTGGAGGTCTTACTTCATGCATGTAGGGAAAAACCAGCAGTCCAAGCTTCTTGCCAACATAAACCGTGTCTACTGCAAAATAGTACTTTAACTTAGAGATGGGGATGAATCGATCCAGCTGTGGACCAAAAAGAGAAACAAGTTACTACAATAAAATAACAGTTAATCAAAATGCAGAATGCGATATTAATCAGAGCTGCAGGGTTGATTCTGATCCCACAACACATAACAACAAGATGGGCCTAGTTTCAACCCAGCAATGAACATCACATGCTCTTCTGCCCCACAACAAACACACATCCTAGCCCATATATGATCGAATGCACATCACACAGCTCATGATCATTTACACTCGTCTGACAGCTATCACATACGTTCTTGTCCATCATCTCTTTGCCATGGGAGGCGAGACTGCTGCCGTAGGCCATGGCGAGGTTAGACATGGGGTCCGACAGAAAGGCCTGTCCTGGATACGCATCAGGCCCTTTCCCCACATCGCCGTGACCGTGTTTGTTCACCTCCGAACTAGTGTCGTCAAATAACGGACTGGGGTCACTGGGGTCCCCTGAGGGGCCTCGCATCCTGATCTTCGGCTCTACAACACAAGAATCATATCAAAGTCAGCTATCAATCATCCACATGACATAAACAAATGACTGTAAGAACACAGTCCCAAGTAGTCAGATAGGCTTATCCACTAACCTTAAGTGTAAGTTCAAATCATCTGACATGTAGAATTCAGATTTTTGATCTATTTAATGTGTGTAAACAAGCAAGTAAAGGCGGAGGTACAGAGAGAAAACAGCAAGAATAAAGATTCTAGTCAATTAAAAGAAGAAACATGCCTAAATTTGCTTTTGCTGTGAATACACACTTATTTAACAACCGAAAAAAGCACACAACTGGCCAGATAATATTCAAATAATAATGAAATGTGTGTCTTATATAGCATTTCATAACTAATCACAAATAATCACGTACGTAACTTACGCTGTCTGGACCCACTCTGGTTTAAAAACTCCATCTCTCCCCCAAAATATGGTATCTTTACTTAAATAGAAAGGTAACAAAAGACAAATATAAACATTTATCAACACATTTAGGCGTCTAGGCGAGAAGCTGCCGGTAGTGAAACTAAAATTAGCATCGCAAAAATAGCAGGAGAAATCGCAGCAAACATCACTTCCGGGTCAAGAATACGGATTAGCTCAGGATTGGACCGCAGTGCGATGACGTGTAATTATCTCAGTCTGTAATGAGTCTTTTTATTTATATTTGGATTTTGTTATATTGCTTCGCGTTAATTACATTTACATATTCGTTTTTATAAATAATAATTTATAAATAAAGTATTTCGAATAATTGTATGATGCCGCACAAATATATCACGGCGTTTTTACATGTGTATACTAGAAAGTATAATCATTTAAAGATAATAATTTCGAGGACAGAAGGCTGACATGCAAAAAGTACGCTTGCACCAGCAATTATCAACATTTCCTGGTAGATTGACACAAAAATAACCCGTGTGATTGGTCTAGCCTGACCAGCGCAGTGAAAAGTAACAAATATCACGTGATTGATATACATGCAGTGCACTACAATTTGAGCGATTTGGGGAAAAATGAAAAATCACGCTATTTTTGAGGAGGAGGAGGAGGAGGAGAGAAGTCTGATCCATGTGTGCTTCAGTGTTTATTTAATAGGTTTTTTTTAGTTTGTTGCAGGTTAAGTTAGGAAAACCATCCACCACACCATCCAAAGAGCGATCTTCACCACGATTATGCAAACAATTTTATTTAATTTTTTTAATTATTACAATATAACAAAGAATGTCCAGCATTTGTGATTAAAAACAATCTTCATTTAGAATGTGCAACAAAAATGCAATATTTACATAGCAATAACCTGAAAAGGACAATCTGCAAAATCTCATGATTGCAGGTGGATATACTTTAATCAGTTTTTTTGTTTTAATTAATTTAATTTCACTATTCTTATGAGGAAAAAAGTATGGGTAACACTTTACAATAACATTTCATAACATTAGTTAATTTATGAACAAACACGAACTATGATCAATACATTTGTTACAGTATTAATCTTTGTTAACATTAATTAATAAAAATACAGCTGTTCAATGCTTGTTCACGTTGCACTAATGTTAACAAAAACAACATTTGATTTTAATAATGTATCAGTAAACGTTGAAATTAACATTAACTAAGATTGATAAATGCAGTTCATTATTAGTTCTTGTTAACTAATGTTAACTAATGAAACCTTATTGTAAAGTATTGTCAAAATATTAAAAAGTGAATACATTTATATTTCTTGTGTGAGATGGTCAACAACTCAACGCAGTGTAAATAGTGCATGATTCAGTGTGAAAAAAAAAATTATTAAAATGTGTGTTTGTTTGATTGATTGATGAGTATAACCCGTGAGTGCAGTTTACTTATTCAATCATATTTTTGTTATATCTCTCCATCCATATAGTCTAGTATGATATTTCATTTGTGTCTTCATTCAAAAACAAAACTGGTTGCAATGGGGGAATTTCCAGTTCATCATAATTTTATAGGTCATTTTAAATGATATTATTTTTTTTTTTTTTCTGTCAAATGGACAGTTTCTCTGTAAACAGTTGTATTTTTGATCTGTGGCATCATTGTCTTTCACTCCACTGCATGTTCATAATGGCCACACACCACCCCAACATCCTCGTCATGAGAACAGTTGTTTTTGCCCAGTTTGGCGTGTTTGCAGTGTAACAGAGTCCGTTCCGTTCCTTCACACTCGACGTCGTCCAGCAGGATCCTGACTTCGCTGGCTCCCGGTCCGAGCTCTGCTCTCTTCGCCACGCGTTCGACCACGGGGAATCCCAGCTGCCGGCAGACGACCGCCGCGGCCTGCGTGTTAAACATGTCGTCGCACACCGTTCCCCATTCGCCGCGCACGAAGATCTCGACCCGGCCGCGGTCCTTCCACCCGTCGGCGCTGACCAGCCTCACTGTCCCGGAGCGGGGCCGACCCCTGCGGTCTCCTTTCCTCCTGGGTTTCCCTCGACCTCGTTTCCCAGGTCTGCCTGTTTGGGTCTTTGAGGTGGGTGTGGGTTTGGGTGCCGGGGTCCAGTACGAGGGCCGGGCGGTGGGTTTGGGTTTTGGTGCCGGGGTCCAGTACGAGGGCCTGGCGGGGGTGTTGGGTTTGGGTGCCAGGGTCCAGTACGAGGGCCGGGCGGTGGGTTTGGGTTTTGGTGCCGGGGTCCAGTACGAGGGCCTGGCGGGGGTTTTGGGTTTTGGTGCCGGGGTCCAGTACGAGGGCCTGGAGGGGGTTTTGGGTTTTGGTGCCGGGGTCCAGTACGAGGGCCTGGCGGGGGTTTTGGGTTTTGGTGCCGGGGTCCAGTACAAGGGCCTGTCGGGGGTCAGTGGCCGAGGGGTCGTGTGGAGAGCACGTGGACGAGGCGTAGAGTGGCGGACTGTGGTCGCTGGAGGCGTCCTGCGAGTTGGCGTTTGTGGTGCTCGCGATCGTGGGGTTGGACTGGGTTTGGTCGGTTTTGGTTTGGGAATGGCAGTCGTTGAGGGTTTTTTGTTAATCACAAACTCTGTGAAACAAATCAAACAGAGTCAAAAAACTAGCTGAACAATCACCCTTTCTAGTGATTTAACTGCGATTGCTGTGCTTGTTTGCAGGGCTGCACGATTTGGCCAAATTTTTTGTGATTTGACTGTAAACAGCCCTTGAAGCTTATCTTTTGTTGATAAGCGCTTCTAATTGTTAGTATATGAAGATGGTTGGCACATGTGTTTCCAAATGCACGGTAAAATGACTCATGAGTTCATGAGGAGCAGCATTTACTGTGAACCGAGTTGCTGAAAACACCGGCAAATCAAGAGCTGCTCACGTGTAAATAAACACAGTGCTGCGCTTCAGTCCGAAACACGCAGCACATTCATATGCACTAACTAAGCCATATCACAATTTTGGTTTTATTTTTCTTAATCGTGCAGCCCTACTCAAATCTCACGCCTTCAATGGGAAGAATGAGTGTTTATTTACCTTCTTTAGGACTGAAATGAATCAGTTTTCCCTTGATGTTGACTGGAGTGGGCTTAAAGCTGCATTTGCCAGGAGGAGCCCTCCTAAATAGTGAAGAAAATGTCCAACTGTTTATTTCACAGCTTTTAACAGTAAGTACAAACATTGTACGCCTAAAACTAGCTTTTTGCTACATCTGCCAATGGCCGTTGACTTAAGAAAATTTACCAGCCACAAACATTTTTCATTAAACTGTTCTTGCAAAAAAAGGCAGTTATGACACACTCTATTCCAATTTCGATACCAAAGCTAAAGCTACTACCCTAACTATACATTATTAAAGACAAGTAACAGTTGTTTTCAGGTAGAGACATTGAATAAAGTAATCAAAGGTAAAAAAAAAAAAAAAAAAACACTGCATAGTCTTCATAAATAAACATAGATTAATCCTTATTAAAGGTACAAAACTTATTCAGTCAAGATCAAGGCCGTAACCAGGGTTTGAAAATTAGTGAGGTCCAGGGTGTTGAGTAAAGAATTGTGCTATAATAATGGTTAGGCCATTGGACCCACATTTCCCCATGGACATTAAGCTGCGACACTTTTTTTTTTTTTTAAGGAATTTGCCATATATATATATATATATATATATACAGGGTTTAAATTTGGATTTAATTATGTGTGGGGTAGTCTCTCACAATTTTTTTTGAAAAATAAACCATTAAATGGCACTTTCTGGAGAGTTTTGTGCAAAGAAATATAGAAAAAAAAGTAGGTCTAGCAAGTCTTATATTTCTGTAATTCACACAGATCAAACACAAATATGCTGGCTGAATAGATTTGCTAGTTGAGAAACACTGCTTTAATTAATATTTTTATAATGACTTTGTGAAAGGTTAACTAAACAGCATGTAAGTTATTTGGAAAATTTCATTCTGTAACATACAGATCTGTATTATGCTATTGTTTTTGATAGTTGTATACATTTACAGATAATCATTGCATTTGTCTTACCGAATGTGGTAGCTTTATGCAATTACAGTTTGTCTATAAGCTTTTTTTTTTTATTAGTGCCGACAGTAAAATGTTGCCAGATATTGCAATGAAAAACAAGCAAAGCAAAACAAAATAATAATATTAATCCGAAATAAGTTCAAAGCTTGAGTTTTGGAAATAAGATTAATATATCACCAACCCTAACATGCAAATTTCCACTTTAATAACTTCCTAAAGTGTCACATTAAATCAGAAAAACAGGTCCAGGAGACGACTACCACCTTTCCATTAGGTGGATCTGGCAACACGGAGGCTGCACCCGCGCCCTCACTCACAGCGCGCTCCCGTTCACGGCGACCTCATAGCTGGCTACGGCCATGGTCAAGATCAGTGAAGGATTTCGTTTCTTTGCCTTTTGCTGTTTGATTAACATTAAATCTACAGACAGCAGCTTAAATATTAGGCTGCTGTCACTTTAAGACTAATACACGGATCCAATACACTGATACTGGTATACATCTTTCTCTACTGTTTACGTTTATTTAAGCCATAACCAGGTTTACTTGGATACTCGCAGAGACGGGCATTTTTGAATATTTTTTTGTGAATTTGTCCGTTCAAGAGCAAGAAGACGTGAAAGAGAGCTCAATTCAGTATTTGCTTCAGATGTTTGCGCACACAAAACTTTCCATACAGCGTGCAAGTAACGAATTGAGTTATTTTTTACCGTCTTCTTGCGCTTGAATATTTAAATGGCCAAGGTTTAAAGTCTCGTGACGATGCAGCGCTGGCCTGTTAATTGTCACGAACGATCTTCATGTTTGTTTTACTGTTATGATTTCACAACATTGCATTGTTAGAATTCATAAAAATGGCGATTAACACTATTTCATATACTCGCCAACACCTGTTTTATTATTCGCATTTGGCGCTTGGCGATTGTTAATTTTAGGTCCTGCCAGTGCTTACACACATAATCGAACAACAACAGAAAAAAAAACTTTAACTATTGCTCATCGGAGAGAATAAATTAAAGGATTTTTATTTTGTGCAAGCTATTTCCCCTAACCCTAACACTTCATTTATTAATTTATTTTGATATATTCTAAGAGGCATTTTGGTATAATCAATATAGACAATCAAATTTGGCAGGGGAGGGGTTATTTTTTCTCCTACAGCTCTGCATTACCATCACACCTCTAGTAAAGTCAGTATAAAAACCCTAACTGTGAAGTTTTATTAAGTGGATGTTAACAGAACTTAAAGTCTGTGTCAGTATCAATACAGTGTGTGTACCTCGAGGGATCCACTATTTTATACACCACTCCGGCTCTGGCTGTGGCACTCGCCGCTCCCGTCGCAAGGAAGTACAGCTCACCTGAAACACACACACACACACTCTTAGGAAAAAACGGTTCAGTGGGGTTCTAGAACCCTCTATTAAAGACCCCTTTATGCCAAAAAGGTTCCAAATAAGGAGAAATGTCTTAAATGACTGCATAATACTTCCATGTTTAATGGTTTATTCAATTTTTTTCTAGTAATAAAGTATGTTTACGAGCTGTCTAATTCATAAACTTGAATTAAAAGAAAAACAATGTATTAAAACTAAATCCAGTGCAACAGTTTTCACCCCCTTTTTTAGTGGCACTGGGTTCCCAAAGTCTTTTTTCCATTCATTTTTCCCAAAGGAATTTTATAAAAGTCTTCGTTAAAGAGTTATAAGCCATGAACCAAGCCAACCAGGGACGAGGTGAATCACAACACTACAAACTTTGATATGAAGAAAAACATTTTTGAAGATCGGAACAAAATGACAAAGGTACAATGTGTACTTAATGGCTTTAGTGATTTAAAATGATTTACAAATGTTGATTTTAAATGTTGAAAAATATGGATTTGTACTATATACAAACATTTTGAATGTAGAGAGATCGACTCGTTACATAATTCGAAACACTTCATGGAAGTGGGCGGAGCCAAATAACTATTGGTGTAATTTTCTGTACACCATCATGGGTAATGTATTTATCACCAGGAATTCTGCTGAAATAATGCAGAAGCAAATATAACACTGATGAACAACCTTGTAGCTTACAGCATGTCTTTACACAGACTTTAAAGGTTTATAAGTTATCGTTCAAAATCAATGTCCCTATGGAGAAAATTAATGGAGCTTTTACTTCCGGAACCCGACTGTTGCACTCAAACCTTTCCTTCTAAAAATTGATATTGATGACTGTATATTAGAGAAAATAATAAGCTGTTGAAGACCCTAAAAATAATCACACACAGAGCTGCTCTCAAGTTACCTGCCTCATCTTCGCCAAATGATATGATATACTTGTAGTAGCTGTTTATAAGTTTAGGGAAACTGCACGTTTTGTCAGCGCCCATACAAATCTCCTTATAGTTCCATTTTCCCGTCTCAGTGTTTTCCTTTAGGGACATCAGGCGCCTAGGATGCAAATAATGGGAGAAGTCTGATTTATTCAGTGCATAGTAATCATACAAACAATGAAATAAATCAGCCATTATGGGAAAGTAGCATGCATTAGTCTTGTGTTGATATTCTTGTTTATATGTTATTATATTGGACTATATTTCAAGTACTAGAGAAAACATACGTACCCACTCATAAAATCCCCAAAGATATACAGACCATTCAGATTGGGCATCTGGCAGCCTCTGTAGATGTAGCCGCCAGTTACAGACTTGCCGATTTTATGTGGGTAAGCAAATATCGGAAGGATATCGTCTATGGAAAAGGCAAAATAAAGATATTTTTCTCTCATAAACTCTTCAAAACTCAACTGGAACCAACAGCAGTTTGTGAAAACTGGAGCTGTATTCTTAAAAATCTTTAAAAATAAATGAAGAAAGGATAACTTTATAAGAAAGTAGTTTTCAAATATTTTCTTCAGAACAGATTTTTTAATGAGAATAAAATGACAGGCTTTTATGTTGTCTGATTATATACTAGCCTACAGGTGAGATTGGCTTGTCCAATACAACAAATTCGTTACTTCAACATTTGTAAAGTGCACAAAATTGATCAAATTACTGTAACCATCAATATTTTCTGGGTTACCTTGTAATTTGACATCAAGAAATATAAAATAATGGTTGCACTTTATTTTACCGTATGTGTACAGTGTACTTACCCAAGAATGGGTAATATAAGGTGACGTACTCGGTCACTACGTAACTTCGGTTCCGTGAGATACCGGAACGAGTACTGCGTGTCTAGACGCTGTTATGGGGAAAACTTATTTTTTATCCGAATTTTTTTTATCTGAAGCCTTTTTAATTACGCAGTGAAACTGCACGGCCATTGCTTCGTGCAGATTAATAAAAGGAACCAATGGCGAGGCAGCGGAGCTACACGAGCCTATGGCAGAGAAGCCCGGCAGATCGCACCAATTTGGGCGTGGCATTTGGCTATAAAAGCAGACGATCTGGCATAGGATACTCAGATTAAGTACTAACAGTTCCCGTATCTCACAGTAACAGTACTCATTCCCATATCTCACCGAGTACCTTCCCTTTCGATACTTTACTCGTACTGCGTAGCTAGATTCTGTTATGGGGAACCAATGCAATCACGCCATGCTATGGCTGCATAATGACTATAATGATATACTTGACCTCAAGCCCAAGCAGAGCCTAGAGGAACCAAGACATAATAGGGAATACTCATTTCGTTAGGGTCTCCGACGTGACTTACTTACGTCGGAGCCGCCTAGGAACGTAAACCAGGAAGAACTCATAGAGGTCGATCCTGCCCTAGACAATCGTTCCAAGAAAACCTGTATGGCCTAGGCACTAGAAGGGCCGAGAGCTGGTTAGGTAAGAGAAGGCAATAGTCTGTTACCAGTAGCCCAGACCCTGATCGGAGCCACAAAGGTATTACAGCAATAGCCAATAGCCACAGTTACCCCATATAGTAGGGGGGGAGAGTTCATAGTGGTCTGGGCTCGGCTTAGGCCAAATCCACTAGACAGAAAGGACTTGTGCCTGCAGAGAAGGGACTTCTAGATTGTAAAACTTGGTAAATGTGGACGGCGAGGACCAGCCGGCCGCCGCACAAATATCACCAATGGAGACACCACTGGACCAGGCCCAGGACGAGGCCATGCCTCTAGTGAAATGAGCTCTTACTCTGATGGGGCGTTGTTGGCCCGTCGAGGAGTAGGCTAGTGTCCATCTGGATATCCTCTGCTTCGTGACTGGATGCCCTTTGGTGCGGCCTCCAAAGCATTCAAAAAGCTGTTCCGCGTGTCTAAAATGTATATTCTCAAACATAAACCTGCAGAGTAAATGCAGCTCTCGTTCATCATGCCCTGCGCTCTGGATGGAGTAGAGAGCACCTTAGGTATATAACCATGCTTTGGTTTGAGGACGACTTTGCAGTCGTTTGGCCCAAATTCCTATTGAACTTGTAGGATCATTAAAAACTAACTGTCCTCCCTGTAAATCACCTTTAGCCACTACTGTACATGCTGAAATTAAATTTGAAAATTGAAAGGCTTGCTTACTGAGTGACGAGTTGGAGCACAGTTTGTTGTCGTAACAGGAGAAGCCTTCTTTTGCCCTCCATCCATAGTTCCCTCCATTTTCGATCAGATCCACTTCCTCATATTTATTCTGCCCAACATCCCCGCAGAACATTCTGCCTCGGCCCTGGCCGCTGACTGGATCGCCCCTGTCGACTGAACATCTCCACATGTTTCTCACACCGTAGGCGTAGATCTCTGGCCTCGAGTCGCTCTCTCCTACAAAAGGATTGTCTGATGGGATACTGTAGGGGGCGCCATGATCGTTGTTGTCTACGTCGATTCGCAGGGCTTTGCCTAGAAGAGTGGACCTGTAACATCACAGTGTTTGTTTTCACTTGAGAGAAGCATTTGTGTTTTACAAAAAGGGTTTGTATTAGATTAAAGTAATACAAATAATTGATCCTATAAGATTGCACTCGTAAGTCTATAGTAGTTTAAACCTGCCCTGTAAACATTTGCACCGTCTGCTGATCCTTTTCTCTCTCTCATCATTGCTAAACTCATGCTAGACCTCTCACGTCCCACAATGCCGTATGTCAATATTGACACTGGCATGGGCTTGAACTGTCCGTGAAGAGGCTCATTTTCCATCCTGTGAAAAGAACTAAAGCTTCTCTTGGCTTAGATCTGTCCTTCGTTCAATTTAGCTTTTTTCTGCTTTGTTATTTTTCTGTTATTTTTTGTCTAATTATTAGATTAGTTATTTATTGGATTAGATTTATGGATTATTATGTTAATACCAATCAACTTCAGACCAGGGTCGTTATTTATTACTAAAATTAAAACCATAAAAAAATAATTTGGCCTTTTTGAATAGGCCTAATAATATCGTATATTCAATTTATATATATATATATTCAATGCATCATATATATGTATATACAGTATATATAAATAAATAAATAAATAAATATATATATATATATAAATAAATATATATAAATAAATATATAATGTAAACTTATTTTATTTCTGCTGGTTGATAAGGAAACATTTTTCTAAAAAAAAAAAACTAAAATGAAATAAAAATTAATAAAAACTGTATAAACATTTTAAAAATGAAAATTACAAAAACACACACAATTTCTAAACTTTTAACTTAAATGAAAATGAAAACAGAATATTCATATAAAATAACAATAAAAAAATATAAATACAAAAACTAATAAAAAATATGAATAAAAACTATACAAACATAATACTGCTACAGATATAAATAAATAAATCCATAAATAAATATATAGACCTAAAACGCACAAGAGGCATCTATTCAGATATAGCACATCATGTAAACAATAAAAAAAATGTTTCATCCATACATTTTCAGTGTTATGTGTTAATGCATATGATTAGTATATTGATCAAATGCATTGTGATTATATTAAAGGCTTTGCAAAGAGGCTTTTATTAAAAAAATAGAAATGTACTGCTTTACTCACTTTATTTATAGCCATTCAAAAGTAGCTAGGTACTGACATGTGACATGCATTCAAAACTAACCAGAAATCAGAGCCCTTTTTTTTTTAAAGTTACTGTGATTGCTGATAGTGTTTTATTCTACAAATAAATGAAACCTGCTTCTACAGGCTTGCATACAGTAGGTAATAATCTAGATCTTCTCACCACAGAAGGTTGATATAAAGCTGAAGACGAAGCTTTTTAATAATGTGTGTGGTACAGAAGACCATCAGTAACTACGCAACACTGCAATTCAAAATGCAAAGTGTCAATACAGTACAAGCCAGTATACACTCCTCTGTTAGTCATCGACACCAGGACTCCAAGACTGCAGTGGCTACGACAGGTTTCTCTGTAAGAATGAAAGGCTTGTGAAACTGTGAGTTTCATCGTGCCACTCTCTATATTCGGCAGGCACTGCCAGCTCTGCTCATGTCACGGGGAAAGGAGGGTGGCGAGCCAACGCTAATATTTTGAGGCGGTCTGGCTAAATGTGCATAACTCAACTGGGGCACATGTACGCCAAACTTCTAGATTTAAACTGCCTAAATTAGGCTTTTGAGCTCCGAAATTGACAAAAACACCATTAAAGTCATCCATACGGCTTGTGATCCACACTTTGTTTTACTTGAACGGACCACTTTTATGGTGTTGGGTATCAAGGGCAAGAAGACTGCAAGAAGCACACTGTTTTGTTTGGTCGACGTGGTCATTTTCTACCACACAAAAAATTGCAGTCTTAGATCATTTTATTATATAATATATCTGATTTGTCTAATTTGATTAATGAGCTAATAAACGTATAACCTGCAACTGTTGCCTTGAAGAGTCGTTTCTACTTGAATCAACAATTAAAATTATTAGTATAAATGAATCTATTTAGGTGGATTTATAAAACATTCTATAACATTAAGGCAAATATAGAGTGTGAAGATTACTCACTTGTTTTGAGAATTCCCAAACTTCCCGAAAGGGTCTCCTGCTTTGCCACCATCTCCTATGAATATGTACAGATAGCCATCCAGCCCAAACAGCAGCTGACCTCCATTGTGGTTTGATGCAGGCTCATCAACCTCTAGAAGTGTCCTGTTAACCAAAATAAGCATCACGGTGACCGACAACAATCACACATCTAAAAGAAAGTTCTTGGATAGAAAGTCCTGTATTTCAGAATCTGAATCTGAAAGCTTTTAACCCTATAAATCCTAATGATACATGAATCTCTAAAGCCTCTAAATTACCAACATCACTTACAACTTTGCTGAAAAACATGTTGCACACAATCTAATACATGCCTTCTGCAGTCTGATAGTTTAGACCTTATTAGCCAATGAAAGGCCTTTTAGTATGTAAAAAATTCTGGTTCATGTGTCTTTTTGCTGTGAAATCTTTATTGATTAAAAAAAAAAAAAAAAAAATTTGAGGAAGGTTTATTTGACATATTATCATAAAATTGAGGTGATTTTTCATCTTTGAGTTTGAGCTCCATATTCTCACTATATCATATTTGAGCCACACAAGCCTGGTGCATCAAATAGGATACAAAATATAAAACTTTTTTTGGGACTCTTTATTGACATCTGTATGTGAGACATGAAATTGCAAGTAACTGTTGTGAAACGAATGGTTTGTGGTTAGCCTTTGTTGATTGTGATTGTCACCACATCAGAGAAGATCTGAATAGCTATACATCACTATCACTGCGAGACATTAGCCCCTTTCACACAGAGATTTCTGGAAAATACACAGATATTGTGTCCCAGGATCGTTTGATCTTGGTTCATTCACACTGCCAGTGATTTTCCGGAATCTGTGAGTGCGTTTACACACCCTGAAAATCCAGAGCTCTCAGCGAGTCACTCTGGCATCGAGTAATGATGCTCATTAACTATGCACTTGTAGCCGAGCTGCACCAATCACATCGGTGTCTCTGATATAGGCGGGCCAGAGGCGAGCTAAACAGATGACGACAGCGCTGTGACGTCATTAGTAAACATTGCAAGATGGCTATGGATGAACACCAGTTGTTGGAAACGGCTTTGGCCGCTACAATGAGCGAGTTAGATATGGCTTTTTATCTAAAAGAGGAACAGAAGACGGCGCTCGAATCGTTTCTTTGCAAGAAGGACGTTTTTGCTGTTTTGCCGACCGGATCTACCAGTTAGCGCCGCTGGTAGCGAAGCGTATGGGGCGTATTGTTGTGATTGGTCGTAGTGTTATCCAATTGCGTGCAGTGAGATTTTCGAATGCATACTTGGTGCCGCCACTCGAGCTGGGCGATTTTCAGAGGTGGACAGAGTACAGAGCTTTGTTACTTGAGTAAAAGTACAGTTACCCCTTGCTAAATTTTACTCAAGTACAAGTAAAAGTACTACAGTCAGATGTCTACTTAAGTAAAAGTACTAAAGTACTTGTTTTTAAAAGTACTTGAGTATCAAGAGTACAAGAGTAGATTTTCTAAATATTGCAATACTAATCTACTGCCACAGTGCTTACATTTATGCACAGAAACGTCCTACATGGAGTTATGAAAAATGTTAATACCCTGGAGAATGTAAAAGGAATTGAAAGTAAAATGAAGTCATTTTCATATTTTTACCATGTTGCTTTATTTAATTTAATCAAATTTTTGGGGGGTCCCATCTTTAAATGCGGGGACAACACACACACACACACACACACACACACACACACACACACACACACACACACACACACACACCACATGTAAGGGTGGCACTGCCAATAAAGCACCTAAAAGCTGTCACAAAGAACCGGCAAAAGGAATGATTATGAATATGTTAAATATAGCAAGGAGATATTTTAATTGTTTATTAATAAACACTTGTTAATAAACAAGTGTTTTCTTTGTCAGTGTCGGAACGAAGACGAAATTCAGGTTAAAGAAAGGTTTTGTGTTTTCTGTTTGATGTCTCTGTGAAAGTTTTAAAGCATTTTTTATGCCGCTTTCAGAGCGCTCATGTCCGTAACGGAGAACAAGTCCATAACATTGTTTTTTCCTCATAAATGCAAACCCGAAAAATAAAGTAAAACAAAATTAATATTTTATGTACTGTGGAGACTGAGCGCCAACCCTTCTTCATTCGCTGGGTAGTAGCCTACTTTGGTTTCCGCAGTGTAATTCACATAATCAGTAAAAATATATTTTGCCTCCTGAAGTTTTTCTTTTAAGAAATCAGAAATCCCTCGTGGCTACGCCACTGCCACATTTGAACCTGACTGTGTTAAACACACCACATACTCAAGAACATCAAACCAAATGCTTGGCTTACATTAATGTGTAATATAAAATCTGACCATGGAGTTGACTTTGGCGGAAAGCTGAAAGTGATTGCTGATAGGCTGTCCCAATCAGTGGCGCCTGCACAATCCAATCACGTTTGAGAGGGAACCAACAAATTGAGGGTTTCCGAGATTTTTCTTTTTGTTTTACTTTTTTTTTTTTTTTACTCGGGTACTCACGGTTATGGATAGAAATGTATTGGAGTAAAGAGTACAATATTTGCCTCTCAAATGTACTTGAGTAAAGTCATGAGTAATCCCCAAAAATGATACTCGAGTAAAGTACAGATCCCTCAAAATTGTACTTAAGTACTGTACTCAAGTAAATGTACTCCGTTACTGTCCGGCTCTGCCGCCATTACTCAATGGTAGACCCTTAATCTTTCAGATTTGGGTCTGGATTTCCAGGCTAGCATTCACGCACGTGTAACGTACGAGCCGAAAACATATACACTAACGCATCGCATACCGTTCCACAAAGCTGGCGAACGATCTCAGCTTCAGCGCGGATAGTAAGGAGCTCCTGGTCTCTGCTTCATTCCAGTTTACAGACATGGATCCAGACATGGAGTTGGATCCAGATCTAAGGGGTGGAGATGGGTAGGATTAGGGGTGGGGTTAGGGATCAGGGAGTGGAGATGAGTAGGATTAAGGGTGGGGTTAGGGATCAGGGGGTGGAGATGGGTAGGATTAGGGGTGGGGTTAGGGATCAGGGGGTGGAGATAGGGTAGGATTAGGGGTGGGGTTAGGGATCAGGGAGTGGAGATGGGTAGGATTAGGGGTGGGGTTAGGGATCAGGGAGTGGAGATGGGTAGGATTAGGGGTGGGGTTAGGGATCAGGGGGTGGAGATGGGTAGGATTAGGGGTGGGGTTAGGGATCAGTGGGCGGAGATAGGGTTGGATTAGGGGTGGGGTTAGGGATCAGGGGGTGGAGATGGGTAGGTTTAGGGGTGGGGTTAGGGATCAGGGGGTGGAGATGGGTAGGTTTAGGTATATGCAAGGTGGGAGGAGTTGGATCTGGATCCATCTCCTCCCACTGGATTTCGTGTTCTGCAGTGAGGACCATCTCCAAATTCCCGGGATCAGTGCGCTGTGTGAAAGGGGCTATACAGTACGGCCTACAAAAATAATTGTTGTTTAAGCAAGTATCTGTCTGAAATCATAATATCTGGAACACGTGAGGATGAATGATGAAATAATATGTGCCAATGATAGCCTATGTATCAAAAATGTATTTCTAACAAAAACAAATCATGTCCCTTAGTGTATACTTTAAGCTTGAACCACAGCATTTGATGCATATTGTCAATTATCAAAGATTATTAAATTTAAAAAGATTTTGAATCGAAACTATGAATAAAAGTTGAAGACGACATAAACTTTGAAACTGGTTTGAGAAAGCCTAGCCAGAAAATGTATAATAAGAACAGACAGACGATGGATGGATGGATGGATGGATGGATGGATGGATGGATGGATGGACGGATGGGTGGATGGATGGATGGATGGATGGATGGATGGATGGATGGATGGATGGATGGATGGATAAATAGATAGACTGTCCTGCCATGTTTACTGACATGCTTTCCTTATCTGTGTTGAAATGACTCTCGCTCTCACCTTTCCGAGGAGTGATCCAGCATATTCATATCTGAATCGGACACGACGAACTCACTGACGCGAATCTTCTCCTGCTTCTTCACAGACACAGAGTAGTAGACGTAGGCCTTTTTCACCTTCGTGAATTGAGGATGCAGGGCAATGCAGAGGAACCCTCGCTCATCTCCTGCCCAAGGTGATGTTAGAACCGCCCTGGTCAGATTCAGGAACGGCCTGTCAATTCTAGAACCATTCGGCAAGTAAACCCACACGTAACCCAGCTGCTCGGCGACAAAGAAGCGGTGAGTGCCGTCATTCGCATGTACCATCGCAACAGGATTGCGAAGACCATTCGCAACCTCTTCCAGGCACAGCTGTATGCAGCCTTGCGGATCCGCCTTCACATCTCCCAGGTTGGCGTTGAGCTTGTCGTCAGAGAGGACGTTTGGGTAACAGTACTCTGGATCTTTCAGCTCAAGGTATTTGCAGAACTTGCTTCGGTCTTCTTCAATAGCAGAGGTTTCATTGTAGTTGGTCAGAAGGCTGAGAGTGTACCGACAGTGGAGCCAGTAATCCCCACAGTAGTTTCCACAGAGTCCGGGAAGCTCCCGCATCGGGGTGTTGGCGTCTTCTGCATCGTACAGATGTGCCGCATAAGGGGAGCATTCCTGAAACAAGCAAATCAACGGATCAACATTTTACATTATTATTATCTGACAGTTTCTCAAAGACTTATCAACATTAGCTACTTCAGGACACTGAGTCTAAGATTCGGCTTTTAAGCAGAATTCGGATTGTAAAGAAGGTCCATTGCCTTTTTCTTAAAGCACAGCTTACACAGAAGTTGCTTTCAAACAAAGCAGTTTCTGTTCGTCAACATACACAATATGCATGCATTTCGTCTGGGAAAATTTGCAGAATAACAGTAAATGTGACTGCACCTAAAGATGATGATAACTAAAACTTTAATGTATTAATAATTGTTCTAATGCAAGGGCGATAACTGTAATTTAAAAATAATAATTGATCTTTGAGAATAGGGAAGTCCACACCACAGCTAGAGATGAGGACACAGAAGAAGGTCGTGGGAATCACTTTCAGGAAGATTTTTTTTCAGCTGATGAACAATAAAAACACGATAGCCAGTCAGAATCCACCCATTTTAGAAATAGTATAAAGAAAAGTTTAAATGTCATGTATATATATATATATATACACTCACCTAAAGGATTATTAGGAACACCATATTAATACTGTGTTTGACCCCCTTTCGCCTTCAGAACTGCCTTAATTCTACGTGGCATTGATTCAACAAGGTGCTGAAAGCATTCTTTAGAAATGTTGGCCCATATTGATAGGACAGCATCTTGCAGTTGATGGAGATTTGTGGGATGCACATCCAGGGCACGAAGCTCCCGTTCCACCACATCCCAAAGATGCTCTATTGGATTGAGATCTGGTGACTGTGGGGGCCATTTTAGTACAGTGAACTCATTGTCATGTTCAAGAAACCAATTTGAAATGATTCGAGCTTTGTGACATGGTGCATTATCCTGCTGGAAGTAGCCATCAGAGGATGGGTACATGGTGGCCATAAAGGGATGGACATGGTCAGAAACAATGCTCAGGTAGGCCGTGGCATTTAAACGATGCCCAATTGGCACTAAGGGGCCTAAAGTGTGCCAAGAAAACATCCCCCACACCATTACACCACCACCACCAGCCTGCACAGTGGTAACAAGGCATGATTGATCCATGTTCTCATTCTGTTTACGCCAAATTCTGAGTCTACCATCTGAATGTCTCAACAGAAATCGAGACTCATCAGACCAGGCAACATTTTTCCAGTCTTCAACTGTCCAGTTTTGGTGAGCTCTGGCCAATTGTAGCCTCTTTTTCCTATTTGTAGTGGAGATGAGTGGTACCCGGTGGGGTCTTCTGCTGTTGTAGCCCATCCGCCTCAAGGTTGTGCGTGTTGTGGCTTCACAAATGCTTTGCTGCATACCTCGGTTGTAACGAGTGGTTATTTCAGTCATAGTTGCTCTTCTATCAGCTTGAATCAGTCGGCCCATTCTCCTCTGACCTCTAGCATCAACAAGGCATTTTCGCCCACAGGACTGCAGCATACTGGATGTTTTTTCCTTTTCACACCATTCTTTGTAAACCCTAGAAATGGTTGTGGGTGAAAATCCCAGTAACTGAGCAGATTGTGAAATACTCAGACCGGCCCGTCTGGCACCAACAACCATGCCACGCTCAAAATTGCTTAAATCACCTTTCTTTCCCATTCTGACAGTCAGTTTGGAGTTCAGGAGATTGTCTTGACCAGGACCACACCCCTAAATGCATTGAAGCAACTGCCATGTGATTGTTTGATTAGATAATTGCATTAATGAGAAATTGAACAGGTGTTCCTAATAATCCTTTAGGTGAGTGTATATTTCAGATAATAAGTGGTTTTGTTAAAGTAATGTTTTCTAATAAATGCTAATAAATAATTATGCCAAGGTTTATATATATATATATATATATGTGTGTGTGTGTGTGTGTGTGTGTGTGTGTGTGTGTGTGTGTGTGTGTGTGTGTGTGTGTGTGTGTGTGTGTGTGTGTGTGTGTATTTTTAATTATGGTTTTCCCTCTTTATGATATCAGGACAGTCATAGTACACTCTTAAAAATAAAGATTAGAACCATAAAATGCCAATAAAGAACCTTTATTTTGAATATGAATACATTTTAGATATGTTTTGAATAAAGAACCTTGATTTTTGAAATGCATGAGTTGCATTTAAAAAATAAAATAAAATGATAGATCCACAAACAAAATAGCGTCCTGTCATTGGCCCATAAACACTGACTTGCTGCCATCGTCAATAAACCTTCAGTTAACCCTATAAATGCTCAAATAGCTAATTCATCCGAAATGTATTTGCTGTGTAAGCCTTTTCATTTCCATCCTCCTCATAGTCTGGCAAACGTGGCACTCTGCACGTCTTCTCTGCTGTCGGGATCCCGGGATTCAATCCAGCAGCTGGTCATGATGGTGTGAGCTATAAATACAGTGACTTTTGAACATTTTGGACTATCCAAGCCTTCATTATGCCTTAGCCACAACACCACACCCATCAGAGGACTGAACCAGCCTTGGCAATGCTGTGCCAGCTCGGGACTGGAAATCATCTGAGATTACTACAGTGACATTAAACAAACAATGGACCAGAAAGTGGTTTGGATCGATGGGGTATCTCGGCTCGTAACACATTGCAGACTTTGTAACATAGCCGAGATGCAGATGGGTCTCTCTAATGATGTTTGATTGCAATTCAAACGAAATATAAACCTATTTTATGTGGTATAAATGAGTCCAGCATTTCCTAAAGAACACACATGGTTATGTAATATCCTGCTAGCATAGAGAAAAAAAACTGAAATGAGTGTCTATATCAAGTAAACTTCTGAATCTACAAAATGTCACTGTAGTTTTCAGCCCTAATAAAAACTGTAAGTCATCATGGGACATGATTTCTGAGGACATGTGGTAAAAGATCACCCTCAAATGACTAATAACAGACTTCTCATCTGATTTTACTTCATAGATATCATATAAGATTAGTTGAGGTGTTACATTGAATGTTTAACCCCTTCGCTGTCACCCCCCTTTTTGAGAATGGGGGTTAAAATGCACTATTCAAACTTAAATGGTTGTAATTCAAGAATGATTTGGAAAATAGACCCAAGTTTGGTCTTGTTTCAAAGGAAACACTCAGCAGATTATTGCTGAAGTGAAAACACTTCAAAAAATGAAAGTATGAAAAAGTTATGGAAGTTAAAATTTACAGTAAATCAAATATACTGTACTATATATTTTTTATTTTATAAAAAAATATATATTTTACAAAATATTTTTTACTATAAAACTACTATAAAATCAAAGCCATATATCTAACCAAGTTGTGTTCCAAATTTGAAGTTGATATCACATAAATTGAAGTTCCCATGAGATTTTGTTGAGGCGTAGTACCAAAAATAGCCACCGGGTGACATACATTCCATTGAATTTAGTTGTATACATTCTGCCTTAACAAATTAATAAATTTCTGTCCAAATATCAATTCTGTCACAAAATTTGGAACCTTGAGACTTAGACCTTTCGGACTATGTGTTTTGTCAGGATTAGAAAAGGTTTTGATCATAAATTATGAAATATAATGATGCCCAAAAGGGGAGGAGCCTGATAAAATAATTTAGAGTACCGTTTCTATGGTAACGCAACGTTCAATTTCAAAACGGGTTTCACAGTATGAATTCTGAGTTTGTAAGCTTTCAAATGAGACCTAATTTATGATAACTACTAAAATACGTGATGTAATAAAAAAGGCGATAAAAAAAGATAATGTTATATTTTAGAGGACAATATATATATTATACTTTTTAGAGGATAATATTATATTATAATTTATATTGAAAAATACTAGATTATATGTTTTATTATGAACTTTTAGCATGAAAACCAAAGTTTCAATTATTAAAGGTGTGTGCGTCAACTTTTTGTGACAAAGGTCAGAACTCCTGTTATGACGCAGATTTTTTTGAGGTGCACTCTTGTCAAAAATTCATCGGTTACTCTTCCTACATAATTTGTAGCAAAAAACAGCAGTAAAATATCTATTTAGGAGTCTTAGACCTTTCCAACCATATATAGTTTGTCATAATTAGATTAGGATTTAATAGTAATATAGCAAAGTAAAGTTAGGCGTCCCGTATACGGGACGGTGACAGTTAAGGACTGCATGCAAGGTTATAGTAAACACTTAAACAATGCTGAAAAATCACCAATCCCCACGCTCGCTTATCTTCAGATGTACTATCCATACCTTCTGATCCTATTGTGAGTTTTTGTCCAGTCATTGTGTTCCTCTTTTTCTGTCCCTCATATAATTTTGTGTATATGGTTCTGTAATTATGAGACTCTGTTGGAGATCACAATCTCTGTTGTTATCAAGCCGCTGATGGATTCGGTTCAACAGATGGTCTCAGCAGGGTTTCACTCATCAACACATTTGCCCCACTCTACTGCACCTCAAATCCATTAGCTTATATGTTTGTGCCATTCACTCTTTAGGCAATTATGAGTTTACAGCTTTGGCTTGAAGCTTTTCTCTGTTGAAACAGAATAGGAAACAAACATTTGTGGTCTGTGATAACATTATAAACCTCAAGAGGGTGTTCAAAAGTGTGGCCTAAAGAACATGGCATGTCTGAGAATAAGACTACTGATTGCATTTTCATTATTTTGGAAAATTCGACTATTTATTTATGCAATAAAATGAGCTTTGCAAAAGTGCTTTGCAACCTCTGAATTGCAGCCAATATCAGCAACGTTGTTGAGAGTGTGATATTGATGTTATATACCAACCCCATCACACTAAATGCATCTCTATAGCACGCCGTGTGTTTATCGTGCAATTTATACACGAAAATGAGTTTTTACGTGCATATGATACGCATGGGTTGGTTAGCCCTCTGGGGTCCTTCATTTAACAGTCACAGTCGGGGCCTTCGGGTCCAAATGGACCCGAAGGGCGGGATTAATATTTATAAAAAAAAATCATAATGTTTTTTTTTTACTTGTTTTTTAAAATATTTTTTCTTTTCTTTTTTGGTGTTTTGAGATAATTTTATGATTTATAATTAATATTTATGCAATGATTATGACCTCTTTTTTCTCCTATTGAATATAACCTAATTTTTAAATTTGTAAAAAAAAAAATTTTTTTTTTTTTATTAAAGCTGTATTTCATTTTAGAGTCAAGCCTAGGCCTCATGAAAGCAATTTTTGAAATGAGATGGATGCCATCTGGTGGACACACTGAGCATTTTAAAAAACAGATATATGTAATCTGAATTTATTAGTGTGTATGTGTATAAAAGTGTGTTTGTGTGTATAAAAGTGTGTGTGTGTGTGTGTGTGTGTGTGTGTGGATGTGTCTGTTTTGCACTCTTGATGTTTTATAGATTCACCCCTTCACTGTTGTGTGCTTTTTTTCTGGATCGTGGCTGATTTGTAGATTGTACGCACAAAAAAACTCTGTATTTTCACATTTTTGCCAATTTCCCATTAATTTCCTATGGGGGTCCATTTGGACCCGAAGGTCCTGAGTGTTACTATTTTTTTTACAACCACTTAGACTATTCAAATCCTGTCCCCAATTTTTTTTTGGGTGCATACCAAGTACCAACAAAGTAACCAAATTTCAGACCATTCCGATATGATTTTTAATATTTTTTAATTTAAATGCCTCGGGTCCATTTGGGCCGAAGGACCCCAGAGGGTAGGTTTAGTAGTGGTGTGGGGTGTGTGTGTATTACACGCAAATGAACTGCGTATCAAATGCACGCGAAAACTGCGTATCATATGCACGCAGTAATTGCACAATAAAACACAATGCGTGCTATAGAGATGCATTTACGTGAGAACAGACTGTACTCACTTGTTATTTAACACTTCAGTAAAAAAGAAGGTATGTAACTTAGATTTTCGACACAATATATCCCAGATTTTTCTTCCCAGTACTTCTCCAAGCAACAAACAGTAGCGGCGTTATGTTCCTGAACGAATCAGAATTTTTGCACGAATCGGCTGAGTGAACAATTCAATGACTCACTCATAAAGACAGTGGGTGCATCCGAAATTGCATACTTCCCTACTATATAGTAGGTGAAAAAATTTATGTAAAAAAAAAAATAGTTATGCCAGTCACCGCCTGCATCTGAAATATCATACTTTCCTTCAGACACATGGCGCAATTGACTGGCGAAAATCTGGTGTGGCAAGCAGTAGTCCATGAGGGGCTGCCACTTTTACTTTCTTTTGTGTTTATTTATATATTAAAATGTTAAACGTTTGCATGTTCCCGCCTCCTTCTTCCCTGAATTACTAACCCCATTACATCTGGAAAGCACAAACAAGCTGATATAAACAGTGAAAAGTCCCAGTGCCGTTGAAATATTGAAACTTGGAATGCTGTTCGACCAATCAGATCGGTTCAAATCTGATGTATTATGAATATTTAGTAGCCTTTCCTACTCTTGTTCTTTTTTTCTATATATATATATATATTTAATATCATTGTTGCCGTGACCTTTGCACAGGAATATGATACATCCTATGCCTAGTGAGAGGAAGCATATATTTTCCTTCCCTGCAGGTTGGAGAACACAAGCAACTCCCTGTATCTGGGATAAATGTCCCAACAAAGGCAATCATTGAGCTCAGCTTCACCACTAAGTAGTCAAATAAATCAGGTGTTCCCTTTGCCAACCCAAATCCCACTGCAATCTCAAAACCATATAGTCAAATAGCATCATTTAATCCCAGCAGCCTTGAAGTGTCAATTATGTAGACACTAGTTGTGGTTGGGATGTCCTGAATGCCAACACTCAGATAAAGACACATATTAACTGTGAGATTTTAGTTTTTGGTGTGTGTTTATTTTTAAGACTGAAGTGTAAAATTCACATGAAATTACCATAGATATCTCACAGTTTATACTGATGTCATCATTCCTAAAAATAGCCCAGTCATTACTAATGCAGGAGTCATCCAGCCGTCTAAAAGCAAAGTCAAAACAAAAATGATGTAACTCACGCAATGATGTAACTTCCTCTGTATATAAACACTGATGAATGAGACAAAATATCATCACTTGCATCAAAACTGAATGAATAATTCAAATAATTATTGACTTAATTATTAAGTTATTTATTCAATATTAATAAAATGACGCAATTTATACAACAATCCTTATACGTCTCTATATTATACAGAGAATTGAATGGGCTAAAGTTAAAATATCCACATGCTGTTATTCAATTAAAGTCAGAATTACGCTGTCCTGAGACTCACCTGGCAAAGAATACTGCGGATGTACTTCCCACAGGCCATGAATCCCGAATGATCGAAGTAATCCATGATCTGGTAGAAGCGCTGGGAGATTTGGTTATCCCTGTCTAAGTCACAGCATCCAAATTTGGCGTACTCCTTGCAGAAGAGCAGGGGCTCGGGAGGCTGGAATGGAGGCTTGTAGTCCAGGCACTGCGGGTGGGCATTTCCCTGCGGAGAGATCAGGATCAGGAGCGCCAGCAGACTCAAGCATTGAGCTCTCCACACTGTCATTCCTCTCATTGCACAGGCGAAAACTCACACGTGTCTGCGTACAAAGGTGGCTTGTGCTGAGTTTGAGAAACACCAATGGTGTGGTGGAGTGGTTGCCGGTGGTGTGTCTCCCGCAAACATGTGCAAATGCACACACACACACAAACACACATGTGGCTCTAGGGGAAGAGAAACAGCCGGAATACTGCTACACAAGGCCCACTCATTCAACAGCCATGCTACACACACATACACATCTTTACAAACACACACTTCTCTATTCCCTCCCTCTTTCCACCCTGTCTCCTCCTCTGCCTTTCCCTCGCTTTCTCTCATTCTTCGGCAGATGCATTCCTTCTTCTTGCGGCTGGCCTGAACGCTTGCAGCCTCCCTCCCCCGAATGAACCCATGCCTCTTTCTCTTTCAAGCCATGCTAGTCCTTTCATTTCTAAGTAATTGTCCTATAAATCCGGTGCTTGTTACTCTTTGATTGGCTGTGTGAATCTTCAACCAAGCTTCTCAACCTCCCATGCTACATTTTGTGTTAAAAGACATTTTTAGTATGATGCAACATCGCTTTCTGTGTGTTCATAGGGTTCATGAGGTTTGTCTCTACAGGATTCGGGTCTCATGTCTACAGATTTTACGGCTCTTTTGCAAACACACTGTTTGGTTTGATTTTGCATCCTAACAGAAACTGGTACTCACTGACCCAGTGACCTATTTGGAATAGCTTACATAAACTCCAAATCTTTGAAGTATATATATATATATATTTTTTTTTTTTAAACTGTGCTTGAAGATAATATAATATGATTGGAAAAAGTCCACTTAAGTGTGTTTAAGTGTAAAGACTTTCTTTGTACACTTAAGTACACTTTAAAGAAGTGCACTTTGTAATAATGAGGTTTTGGAATGCTTGTACATTCGCCAGTACATACTATACATAATAGAATAACATATAAAGAAGTCTTACATAATTGGCTCAAAAAAGCATATGATGTCTTAAAATACTGTATAATAGGCAGCTTGGGATGAAACAGAGAGCATGTTCTGTTGAAAACCATAGATTTTCTCTCTGTCTGCACTAAATATATATGTTACTCAGATATGCGAATGTGTCTCTCATCTGTTTTTGATTCCCATGTCAGACAGCCATGAGGAGCATCTGTTCTCTCACGTATAAGCACAGATCAAGAGCTCGAGGTTCCTTCACTGCATCAACAAAAATCACAAAATGACAAAGACTGTTGAAGGCTGTATAGGATAAATGTTTAGTTAGTTAAAATTTCCTTTTCTGTTGGTGGTTTTGTATGATTCTTTATCTGACTGACACAGTGGAAAAACTAGACTTGAAGTTAATCTGTCACATCCTTGAAAAGACTGATGCAAATGTCCAGAAATCCCTCTTTTTGTTTCAGATCAGATTATATGATGCCTTGTTTTGTGCTGTTGATGTTCAGTCTGAGAGGGTAAACCCAGTTCATATTACCCCCATTGCTCTGAATATGATATTAGATGTGTCTTTTGGAAATTAAAGTTTAATCATTGCATGCTTACACTCTTAAAATTAAAGGATCAAAAAGGGGGGTTTTGCAATTTTGAAATTGGAAATGCTGCTTTGCATTTTTTTGGTTCCCCAAAGAACCTCCCAGCGAAAAGAACCATTTTTTCTACAACATTTTAATAATCTAAAGAACATTTTCTACTATAAATAACCATTTGTGCAGTGGAACGATTCCATAAAGGTTCATCATTGAACCATCGACGCCAATACATTTTTAAGAGTATATGTATCTAATAAAATAGAACTCTATTTCATTATAATGTTGTTCGAGTTGCTTTGAATGTCTTTGCCAATGAATGTCTGCCAAGGACTTAATAAACTTGCACTCTTGCTAAAAGAGCATAACAAAGTTTTGATCCGTATCTCACTGTGTCTGTGAGAGGCTAAAGAGCATTCGTGGAAGGAAGTCCAGTAAACTGAACCTGGTGATTCAGCGCTACACCATGTGGAGTCCTTCTGGGAAACTGCGTCTTATGGGTAACTTAATGACTGCTGTCAACGTGACCTACACTCCCTAACACAGCAGATAGAGAAGATGAACGTGGCAGTGTGTGTTTTGGCCGGCACTTAAAGAGCAGCATTTCTAAGAAGGACTTCCTGAATAATATGACTTTTAAGAGCTGCTCAGCTTCGCATTTGTGTCCTTATATCTGGAGTATTGTCTGGTCATGAAAAGCTTTTCTTTTTTTCTTTTTTTTTTAACTAGTTTCAAATGGGTTTTCTCCTAGAAGCCACTCTTGTGATGTTATGCCAGCATGCACTTTCTGTAGGCTACTTAAGACAGGCCTAGAGTAATAGAAATCACTAACGCATTCTCATCTTAGGGCGTCATATTTTGACATTTCGTCTACATCCAACGCACATGGCACCCTTTAGCGTCAATATGAGACGCAGATAGATATGGGTAGGTTTAGGTCTGGGGTAGTGTTAGGGTTAGACCGCTAGGAGGCGCCTTCTGGCCCATATCTATCTGCGTCTCATATTGACGCTAAATGGTGCCATGTGCGTTGGATATAGACGACATGTCAAAAGCGTCAGTATATGATGCATTGGGATGAGAACGGGCACATGCATATTTTAATAAGCAAAAAATGCCACAACTTTTGAGAAAACGAGTCTCCCAATAAAACAACTTATTTACTGTTGCTCTGCAATATTTCGAGAAGAAATCAAATCATTCAAATAGAAACGTAATCAGGAGCTTCGCGTGAGGATGAAAAAAAAAGTCTTTTTTCCTGCCTATTTTGCATCTATTCAAGTTGGTCACATGAATTCGCTGCACTGACCAACAGAAAAGCTGCTTTACATCGCTACACGATTGGAAATATAAAACTCTTTTTTGTACGTGAAATGTCACTAATGTAATCGCACATTAAATGTTCCAGTCTGTGGGCGGCATGAACTTGAACGTTATCATGGAGATTAAACGGCCCTGTAGAACTGTTGAGTCACGCTCTGTGTGTGTTATGACGAGAAGTTCAGATGGTCCTTGAGGATGGTGAATAAACAGAATATAGTGCATAATAAAAGGCTGGAGATAAAAGGGTTTTGAGGTCATGATGACACAAAGGCGATGAGTGTAGAATGGAAAAGAATCCAGCCGTTGATTCAAATGAGTTCCAGATCGTTCCAAACATTCCAAAAAGAATCTTTACGCAACATTTGTTTTGTTTTTCCCCAAAGAATGAATGAAAACTCAATTAATGACAATAAAACAAAATAAATCCAAACTTTTTATGATTTTTATTTTTTTGGGGGGATAATCTCGTTCTACCCATCAATAACAGGTTAACTTGTTTTGAAAATGAGATAAAGATAGTAATCCTCATAATAATCCTCAATCATGTTCAAATTAGAATTGGCTTCCGCCTCTATATTTAGTAGCAGTGTGGAAAAACAGATTGTGTGATTACAAAACTCTGTGATTAGAGACAGCAGAAATTATTGCACTCTTCCGTTGATCCCTTACCAGATGACCGGGTCTGGTCCAGCATTTTACTCAAACTGTCGTTAGAAGACCAATTTGAGAGGACAGTGTGGTTTGTCTGGTCACAGCACGGTCCAGTTAATCCCTGCTGACGAACTAAAAAACTACACCATTGCAGTTTCTTCTGGGGGAAATGGAAATGGCTCGCTTTTCCTATCGTCTTTGGAGGGCAATGAATGCATCTGTGTGAGAGGGGAAACTAATGTGTGACAGAGAGAGCTAGTGTTGCATAATTGAATGCTTCTTTATCAGTGATCTCTGGCTTGTTTGTAGTGCGTAATTACGATTTCGTATGCAGTTTCGTAGCAGATGGTCAAGCCTCCCAGACAGCGGACACAGACGGGTCATTCCAGGTCAAAGGTGCAGGAGCAAACACAGCACAGTATGCACTTGTTCCCAACGAACACCACACTTCAATTGTATAGAAAAACATCATCACTAAAGAGTATTTAGACACTTGATACGAGTAAACAAACTTGTAGCTACTGTAAAAAAAAAAGACAAAAGCAGCCTTGATAAAACTTCCTTAAATAGTTTTTTTAAGCTTTTACTACAGGTTCAAAAAAAATAAAAATGACAAATAAATAAGCTTTTTGGTGGTGTCCAATATTAAATGGAAAAAAAGGACTGTAATGTGAGTATAACTTATTATACAAACATTGGAAGAAAATACATGGAGGAATTCTTTTTACACATTTTGTATGTACAGTATAGACAATATGACACTTGCATAAAAATTACAGCAGAAGAGAGATATTTGCCGACATGCTAGTATCACTCACATCTAAACACTGGATTTATAAGTGGCGGGATTCATAAGAGGAAATCACATTTGTCACTTTTATGTTTTACCTTCATACAAACAAAAATAGCATGGGTACAATTACCAAGATTTTTTTAAGTGTGCATCATGTGCTATAATAATGCGCTATAATAATACTATAATATAGTTACGGTAAACCTAATGGTAGAGTTCAGATCACTTTGAATCCAGGTGAAGCGAGACACATTCTGACACTTCATGGCTGTTGTTTATAAGGTGATAAGTCATTTTCAATACGTTTTTTTTTTTTGTAATTTATATAAAGATAGATGAGCTCAACTGTCCCCCGTTTTCAATATTCTTCTCACACATTTAACAGCGCAATCTGTGATAACTTTAACTGGATTTTGCATGTGAAACAATGCTGTATTGCTGTGCTGGCATCAGGTATATGACAAAGAAGGTCCGGTGTAACACAGTCTCATCCCAAGAAGTCATATAACTGACGTCTTGGGACGTCTTTTGACCATACGTCAATATCCGCCTTTTTAGGGTACCCTTAAACGTCGGTTTATGACGATCCTGGGACGTCATACAACTGACGCTTTACCTTTAACGTCAGTTAGGTGACGGGGTAGGTTTAGGGGTAGGTTTAGGTCTGGGGTAGAGTTAGGATCCGATAACGTCATCTAACCGACGTTTAAGGGTACCCTAAAAAGGCGGATATTGACGTATGGTCAAAAGACGTCCCAAGACGTCAGTTATATGACATCTTGGGATGAGACTGCGCTGTCCGGTGTTACTCATTCATTCACACATTTCAATACCAATAAGGAGCAAGCATATGAATCTGCAATGTGTGACCAGCTGATGTTTGAATGAAAATCATAATAAAACCGACCAGCATAAATAAAGTGCATCTTCTCCATTCATATACAATTTCATTTACTATGCATTTATTTTTATTAAATTCTAAATGCATTTAAAACAATCTACTATTAGATACCTATTATTAAAACTATATTTTGTGTCAATGACAGTCCTAAAAACAATATAAAGTTGCGCTTTTTAAATTGGTTGTTTACTCACTTAGGTAGAGATTGCATGAGTCTTCAACACATGCAAAATAACTCAAAAGTAATGTTTAACCCACATATGCATATTGGTATTCAACTGTAAAACAAACAAGCAAAAAAACCCCCGAAAATTTACAGATATTCAGAGCATGTTGAAATTATGAATCTGCTTTGTTTCCCCAACAGGAATTCACTTGATAATCAAACAAGCTCCTTCACTTCTGAGTGTCTTTAAAGCAGGTTCCCATTGTGCCGTTGCATCAAAGTGTCTCAAAGCATCTTATTGTTGTGAGAATATGCTCTAATACAAGCAACCTTTAGGCTGCAACATGTTCCTTTCGATCTGAAAGACAAGAAGAGACGTGTTAAAGGGTCAGGAGAGACCACAAACATCTCCGTGCAAACGCAGCCTTGGATATATGGTGCATAATAATAATAATGTCAAGATGTTTTAAATCATGGACGAAAATCAAACAGCAAACGCACGCAGAGGACCAACTCCAGATCTCACATCACGGCCTTGCTCTTTACAATCGTGCTTTTGAACTGTGGACATCTTTTCTTTATTGCAAGGCCAGTTCAATGAAAGCAAAAATGCAAGATTTTTATGGTCATTTTCACAAATGTCTGTACATATCTCTCTTATTGCACAGCTACTTACCAAATCAATGGACATGAAATTGAATGGAGCTTATTTTTTAAAAGCAAATGGCACCGATTATTATTACACAATTATTCAAATATACACTATTGGTCAAAAGTTTGGAATCATGATTTTTTGAAAGCTATTATTCTCACAAAGACTGCATTTATTGAATCAGAAATACAGTAAAAACAGTAACATTGTGAAATATTATTACGACTTAAACAGCTGTTCTGTGTGTGAATATAAGATGTAATTTATTCCTGTGATCAAAACTGAATTTTCAGCATCATTACTCCAGTCTTCAGTGTCACATGATCCTTCACAAATCACTCTAATATGATGATTTGCTGCTGAAGAAACATTTATGATTATTATCGATGATTAAAAAATTTTTGCTGCTTCGTATTTTTGTGGAACCAAATCAGCATATTATATAGATCACAGGAAAGTAGTAAATAGCCTATACCACCTGTCAAAATGATTGATTGACAGGTGGGCTTGGCTATCCTTTGATCTTCCCCAGCCCCTTCCGGTTCCTCCCCTTCCTGTCCCGCCCCTTCCGGTTCCGCCCCTTCCTGTTACCTTTGACCTAGTTCCGCCCCTTCCGGTTACCTTTGACCTAGTTCCGCCCCTTCCGGTTACCTTTGACCTAGTTCCGCCCCTTCCTGTTAAACTTTCTGTCAAAATGATGGATGATGACCGATGACCTGAAGGGGACGGAACTAGATCAAACAAACTTCAAACAATTCATCATTTTGACAGAAAGTTTAACAGGAAGGGGCGGAACTAGACCAAAGGTCATCATCCATCATTTTGACAGAAAGTTTAACAAGAAGGGGCGGAACTAGGTCAAAGGTAACCGGAAGGGGTGGAACTAGGTCAAAGGTAACAGGAAGGGGCGGGACAGGAAGGGGAGGAACCAGAAGGGGCGGGGAAGATAAAAGGATAGCCACGCCTACCTGTCAATCAATCATTTTGACAGGTGGTATAGGCTATTTACTACTCAGGAACAAATGACATTTTAAAATATATTATATAAAAAAATAATATTATATGAAAATATATTAACATTTAAAACAGTTGATAATAAAATTTCATAGTATTACTGTTTTTACTGTATGATTCAAATAAATGCATCTTCAGCGAGCAGAAAAGGCTTCTTTCAAAAACAGTAAAAAAAATCGTAATTATTTAAAACTTTTTACCAGTAGTGTACAGTGTAGAAATCATTATGCATAATTATGTGATGCAATTGACCAGTCAGAATCCCAGCAAACTGTGTATTAATGTTGCATATCTTCATAAGATTATAATCCATTCCCCGTCCATCCTTTGGTCTTGAATGCAACATCGTGATCCGCACTTGAGGTCTCTGAAAGTCGAATCCGTCTGGTTCTGCCTGAGGTCAGTGGTCAGAGCTGGCTGTAAATTAAGCTTAAAATCGACTATAACGAATTTAAAGAAAGCTCACCTCCAAAATGAGACCGATCAATCCCACTGTGTCCACACCGGAGCGCACGGATGGGCAGCATTATGTTCCCTAAGGCACATTGCGGTGTAGTTGAGTGTGTGATGGACGCCTGCGTCTCCATTGACCCCGGATTCAAGCACACAAATGGTGTTAAGGCTGTGCCATATTTCTGAGATCAAACTATGGCCAGAAAAACACCACAGCCCTGTTCCCAAACTCCTGAAGGAAAACACAGGCAGAGGGTTTCAACCCTTCAGCCGGCTTCACCACAGAGCAAAGCGGAGCGATGGATATCTGTAAAGATTTATAGACTGGCTTTAACACACAACTTCAAAAGTTGTCAATGCCTTTTTAAAGAAGCGTCTTCTGCTCACCAAAGCTGCATTGATTTGATCAGTAAAAACAGCAATATTGTGAAATATTATTACAATTTCAAATAATCGGTTTTCTATGCGAGTTTACTGTAAAATATAATTTATTCCAGTGATCAAAGCTGAATTTTCAGCATCATTCTAATATTTACATTTAATCCTTTAGCAGACGCTTTTATCCAAAGCGACCAACAAACGAAAGCAAACCGTTACGAAAATGCTCAAGAAACATTTATTATTATGATCAATGTTGAAAACAGTTGTGCTGCTTCATATTTCGGGTGGAAACGGATTTTCTTTGATGAATAGAAAGTCAAAATTAAATGTATTTACTGTCACTTTTTGATAAAGACAATTTTTTTGTGCAATAAAGGGTTAGGACTGTCAGAGAACACCATCTATATCATCTCCGAATTAAAGCCCTAAAACGAGGTCACGCATAACTCCGACTCGGGCGTAATAATACAGAGTGACTGCATGCTAAACCTCTGAACCTGAACCTCCTCCAACACAGTTTGATTAATCGTGCCGGAACAAGTCTCAGTTCAGAGATCCAGCAGACCATTAGTAACTGTGAAGACTTTTGGGTGTTGAAAAATGAGCTCTGATTGAATTAATGAGGTGGCATATCTGTAACCCATGGAAGATGAGATTAAGCTTCATTCATGCACTTATCTAGCACATTCTCACACACTAAACTATGAACTCGGATTGAAGCTAATGTTTTTAACAAAAGAGACTGCATTAAAACAATTAAATGGAAGACAAGTGGGCTCTGGTTGGGAATTGGTTGGTATTATAGTAGGACAGAAACTCAAAGAAAATTGACAGAAGTGATGCGTTTTGTAGTTAAAACACTTATCCTATTCAAGCTTCACGTGCAGAGACTATCAATAAGTCATTTTCTGAAAAATTTGAAACGCTGATTTCAATGCCACATTCAACCAAAGAGTCTAAGGGGACATTTTCACGACAATGATGTACTAAATACGGAAAAGTTTTCCTTTTGCGTTTCTGAAAAGTTTGACGTATACGCTCACATTTGCTGACAGTTATGGCAATGTAATGTGTCTTATATCAGATTGCCTAGCAGTGGGCCAAAAGAGTGTTGACTCCATTGGTAGAGGTAGAAATAAAGAGGAGTGGGCAAAATGACAGAAGCAGTGTGAACTAATGCCGGTTAATGCATAGACTCGTCTGACAACCACCATCTGTCTAATTTAGCATGCACTGACGCTCAGAAACATGCACACGTATTTTGAGTCCCATCCATGCATGTCCCAGGGATTTACTTTATCATGTTGATCAACAACTGGACAGTTGACAGATGTTACGCAATGCTGGCTTATATAACCAAGCAAACCTATTTTATGAAGAAACTAACAAAACAAATCTATTGAAGATAGAATAAGTGCCGTGTCATTAATTTAAAATAAAAGATCATTCAGCTGCCTTTAAGTTCGCTTAAATGCATCTTTGGAGAAAGGAGACAGAAGGTTGTTGCTTGCATACTAAATACTGTGCTAAGGTGCAAACGGGTGACGGATCAGGAGTTCAGGCTGTGTTCTTGAACACTACTGGGTCTAAAAGGCACAGGCACACACCACTGCTACCACCACAATGTTGGAAACGGTTGCAATGACAGCCACCCACAGCCAGATGGCGTCGGTGGAGTACTTGGGCTCGTTTGCCGGATCGACTGGTTTGGCGTTGAGGTTAGAGGTGGAAGTCTGAAGGGACGCGTTGCCATTGTGTGGAGTATCCATTAAGGCCCCGCTGACGGCTGGAAAATGCTGTGAGAAAAGGGAGAAAACATGGAGCATGCAATCAGTCCAAAGTCAACATGACCCCGTTTAATTTTTTTAGGGCTTCTTTCCATGTTCACATTTCTTTAGTGTGTAATGTTGCTGTTTGAGCATGAAAAAGCTCTGCAAAGTCCCTCCAGAGTTATCCTCTATATCGGTGTCAGTGTTTCTGAAACGCCTCCATTGTAGTCTCGAGTTTTCTTTTGGGAACGAACACGTCACAATATTCATCATTTAAATAATTCATACGCAGAATAAAGACACGGTTATGGGAAGGAGCGGGACATTTCCCGAACACACTCAAAGCGCTCGACCAATCACAAAACACTGCTCCAGCCGACCAATCAGAGCACAGTGTGCCTTTCAGGAGGAGGGGCTTCATAGAGACAGGAACTAAAGAGAGCGTTACTGACAGACTGGAAGGAGAGGAGCCGCAACAATGGAGAATATGAGGGAAATAATGTGTTTGAAAGATTCCAGTAAATAAAATAAAGTCCTACTCTCAAAGTTATAAATTAAAAAAAAGCCAGATAATGGAAATAAAATTGTTGGCAAACGGCATGACTTTAATAGTTATGAAGCGTCTTGGATAGCGTTAACAAAAACGTGTTCCTGCTGTGACCTGTTTGATAGTCAAGGTTATTGTATAGTTTTTACACAATACACATCGTTTCAATGCAGAAAAGCATGATGTTAATGTTTTTAAAATTGTCATGTTTTATAGTCGAATTAGTAGGCTACATTTGGGTGATAATATAGTTTGCATTTTGCAGTGTCAAAACCAATCAAACAGTTGAGATTTGCTATATATCGCTCCTCACATTTTCTGTATGTTTGCAAATAAAGTATATCCACACTTATATATCTAACTTTATATATAGAGCTGTGCAATATTATAATTACTTTTTAGGATTTACTATATTGCTTTATGTGAGTTTATTGTGTGCAAAAAGTTGGATGAAATATATATCCAACATTTATATAGAGAGATGTGCCATAAAATGGTTTACATTTTTGGGATGATATAATAAACAATCACATAGCCGAGATTTGCTGTATATGTATTGCTTTACGTGAGAATATTGTATGGTTATAGGTAATGTAGGCTACAGTGTTATTTGCTATTATTCAACCCCCATTACAAATTGGTTTATTGGCAAAATATACAGCATTTCAGCTTTTTGCAATGAACATATCAAACAAAAATAATTGAAATGGCTCAACACAACAAATGTTTTTCAAGTGGTTTCCCCAAAGTTAACTGAAAATGCAACTGCAGTCTCAAAATGATTCAACACCTTCATGACAAGCATGTTTAGCACTTAGTAGAACAGCCGTTTGCTGTAATGAATCACTGCAAACGAGATGTATAAGCAGACACCAGCTTCTGGCAGCGTTTCTGAGGAATCTGAGCCCGTTCCTCATGAGCAATGGCCTCCAGTTCAGTGATATTCTTGGGTTTGATTCCTGAAACCACCGCCTTCAAATCCCACCAGAGATTTTCTATGGGTTTCAAGTCAGGTGACTGAGATGCCACTGTAGGATCTTCCAGGATGACTTCTGCAACCAGGCCTTGGTGGAATTTGAGGTATGCTTGGGATCATTGTCCTGTTGGAAGGTCCGATGACGCCCAAGCTTCATCTTCCTCTCTGATGGCATGATGTTTTCTCCTAGGATTTCCTGATACTTCAATGAATCCATCTAGTTTTCCACACACACGCTGCAGGTTTCCAGTGCGAGAGGACGTAAAGCAGCCGCAGAGCATCACCGATCCATCATGCTGAACTGTAGACAGTGCTCTTTACAGCATTATGCTTCATTCTTCTTCCTCCAGACATACCACTGATCCATAGGGCCGAAAAGTTCCAGTTTTGCTCCATCGCTCCACAGAACAGAATCCCCAAAACTTAAGTGGCTTATTTACATGATTTTGAGCACTTTTCTTGAGCTTTTGGGTCAGTAGTGGTTAGGGATGGGAATTGAAAATATTTGATCAATATCAATGCCAGTAACGATTCTGCTTATCGATCCGATTATTTAACGATTCTCTTATCGATTCCTGATAGCACTGTGTGGAAATAAGTAGTCATATGCTTTTTCGGGGGGGGGGACAAGTGGTTTTATTTGTTTTAAAGCTTACACTTGAGTAAGCAAACTGTACTTTTTATGTAATTTATGTAATAAATGGAACCTTATTGTAAAGTGTTACCGATTAGTTATACACCGATTAAACGTCCCGTGAGTTCAGTGTTGGAAAGAGAAGTTGTTTTTACCATTCATTAAAACGAATCGGTTCAAATGAGTCATTAGTTCGCGAATTGGACGTGTCGTTATCGGACGTGTGCGCGTTGTGTGATTATCCCGGCGCGTTGGGACATCCCAGAAGATGTGTGTCATAATCACAGAAAACATTTCATCACTGGATAGGTTTTTTTTCCCTTTATTTAAAGTGTGGTTTATGTCAGCTGAATGTGCGGAACGCTTTTCTGAGAAGGTAAGGCAACGTATTTTAGCACAATTCACACCAAGCGGAAATTCAGGAAAAACAAATCTCCGAATAATCCACATGAAACTTTAGTCTCCCGACCTTACCATCGTGTCGTTTATTTTGATTAATATGTGCGAGGGAGAACAGTGCTTAGTTTTGAGACGGTGAAGCCTTGCTCCGAAGAGAGAGAGTGTGTGCACGCGACTGTCACAAGCGCAGCAGTTCATCTACATTACCAAAGTCCTTTTAGGCAAGTCATGCCACTCGGCCGCCATCTTGGCAACGCCTCCGGGCAGCTATTTCGGACTAACAAGACCAGGCTCCTATCTAAATGAATGAGCAGAGAGTCAGAACTGCAGTTTCACTGGTCACCGGGACATAAAAACTGCATGTATAGAAACAGCAGTAAAATATGATAGATAAAAATCGCTGAAAAAGTTTGATGACTTTGCCCCAAAATAAGGTTTAAAACGCCTTTTCCCCCACAGGTTATACGTTTACTACGCATGCGCAAGGGTTCTCTCCCTCGGTCGTGCGCGCGCTACACAGTTTGAAGCACAGTATGTGCTCGCTCTTGCTCGCTCGCTCTAGTTTCCGGGAGATTTGAACTAATTTGCGGGCATCAGGGAGCCGCTATCAATCTGCGGGAGACTTCTGATGTCTGATATTTACACAACTCACACATACACTGCATATCAAATCTGCCGCCTTTTCAGACAGTAACGTATTTTGCGCTGTCGCAAACCTCAACGGTGCGCATGCGTCAGTGGAACCAGACGATAGGCTTAAATGTTTCCCGGCTTGACTGTTAAAAGCAGACGATTGGCCTTCCAGCGGGAGGGGCGGGGTTACGGGTTTTCCCTATATAGTTGTATTAAGGATCGAGGAAGTGGCATGTCTCCATATAAATAGTCTCTGACATTACTCACCGATCAAATAAGACTTTGGCGGTACAAAAATTTGCTTTGGACGCGGTGCTATGGTGCTTGATAAAGGACAGTTGTGAGTTCACGGTCTGTAGCCTACATATGGCTGACTCAGAGCAGGAGCATCGATTAGAGGACTCGTTAACGTCGAGGGCATACAATATCGATGGATCGCAAAACTTGGAACCGGTTTTCAATTCCCATCCCCCTAGTAGTGGTGTACGTCTTGAAGTTTATTACGTGCCTTACTGTGCAGCTGAAAGCTCAGTGCCTGTTGCCACCAAGTCTTGCTGCAGGTCTTCTGCAGTCACTCAAGGGTTTTCTGAACCCGCCTTCTCAGAAATCTGCTTGCAGCCGTTGGTAGCTCCCTTTTTCTGCCCCGTCCAGGTAGTGAAACCACTGTTCCTTTAACTTTGAACATGCAAATTATGCTTCCAACTGTGTCTCTAGGAACATTTAGTTCCTTCGCTATCTTTTTGTATCCTGTTCCTTGTTTGTGAAGGCTCTTCTCTTAACCTTTTGACTTTGACTAACGTATTTCTAACATGCGGTCAAACGTGACACTCAACAAACCTAGCAAGTTCTGATATTTCATGTGTTCTAGCTCAAGCACACCTGGTGCAACTAATGAAGCCCTTGAAAAGTTGCATCATGTGTGCTTGAGACAACACCTGTTTTGCAGATTTATGCTGTTGTGAGGGGTTTTATTCAGGGGGTTGAATACTTTTGAGGCTGCAGAAGTCATTAAAAGTTGCATTTTCAGTTGAATTTGGAGAAACCAATTGAAACATTTGAGCCATTTCAATTACTCTAGTTTGATTTGTTCATTGGAAACCGCTGAAAGTCTGTACATTTTTCCAATAAGCCTATTTTGCAATGGGGGTAAAATAATTCCAGCTTTAAGTGATATCTTTAATTTTAAACATTAAATATGTATATCGCAGGGCGATAACATTACGCATTTAGAGATTTGCTTTGTAGTGCATGCGCTTCACATGACTGTACTGCGATAGAAGCATCTGGTTTAAAAAAGCATCTCTATTTATCATGCAATTTTCTGATTGCTCCCATCTGGCGTATGTCGTCACCAGTCGGGAGGTGTACAGGTGCATTCTGGGTAGTGACGGTCATTATGTTCTGTTGCTCTTCATCACCTCATTGCTGCTCTAGCTCCATTCATCGGATCCAGACTCACTCGTCGCTCTTGTTCTGACCTGATAACAGCTGTTTGAAGGTTGGAGAAGAACTCACACAGTTAGTGTGGAAGTAAATCTACTGCATTGTGGATAAAAGCTTTCTCTTAATTCAAATTAATGATGCGTCACTTTGAAACTAATTTCAAGTGACGTTTAGTTTTCTCTCATTATCTTATTACGATTTCTGAATACGCTTCATTACTGCTACTCAAGTCTTGATATGATTAAATTAAGAGCCAAAGATATTCAAAGTTTGAATCAAGTCAATAGGATATTCCAGCTAACCGGGAGCATTGGCAAAGTTATGAACAAACGTTCGTCCAATAACGTTAACAGAACATTCGTTCAAAGTCATCTGGTATTTAATGATATTCTCAA